ATAAAATATAGATTTTTATATATATTATCCATCAAATATATTTTAATTTCCATGATTTATTACTTATATTTTATTAATTTTTGCAGTTACACAGTGTGAGACAGCTGGGTAGAGTGTCATGTGTCTGTAGTTGCAGCACTTTGGAGGCTGAGTCAGAGGATTGCTGGAGCCCAGCAGTCTGAGGCCAGCCAGGACAACAAAATGAGACCTTATCTCAATAAACAAACACATAAAAAATAAGTTGGGTTGGGCCGGGGAGTTAGTTCAGTGGTTCTGCCACCTGCCTCGCAAGCACAAGGATCCGAGTTCGATCCCTGGTACCAAAAATAATAATAATAATAATAATAATAATAAGTTGGGCATGGTGGCTCACACTTGTAATCCTACCACTCTGGGAGACTGAGGCAAGAGAATCACAAGTTTGAACCCAGCTTGGGCAACTTAGTGACTTACCAAGACCCTGTCTCAGAATTAAAAAGGGCTGGGAATGTAGCTTAGTGCAAAGGCCCTGGGTTCAGTCCCCAGTACCATCCAAAACAAAACAAATGAACAAAAAAACAGTGAGACAATGAACATCTTTGTGAATCAGACTTAATTTTTACAATGTAATTTTCTTCAAATAAATATCAAAGAAAGTACCAGCTTCAAAGTATAACAGTAGATAGATGTGGTATGCACTGTTTCATTTGTTCTGATGACCCACTGGGTAGGGATAGCCATTGTTGCCCGATTTGTACTCGGGGGACACTTGGGTCCGACTTACTGCTGGTCCCCCTACCACTTTCATGCTTTGACCACAGCCTGTATCCTCTTTGTCCTCTCTCCCTCTTTCTTACCTGTGCCCTCATCCCCACCCCAGATCAAGGAGCTACAGCTGGTGCTAGCCGAGGCCCATGACAGTCTCCGGGGCTTGCAGGAGCAGCTCTCCCAGGAGCGACAGCTACGGAAGGAAGAGGCTGACAGCTTCAACCAGAAAATGGTCCAGGTGGGTGATGCACCTACTCCAGCTTTTCCCAAAACTAAAGGCAAAGGGGCTGGGGTTGTAGCTTCATGGTAGAGTGCTTGCTTAGCATTCACAATGCCCTAGGTTCCATCCCCAGCACTGCAAAAACAAACAAACAAAAACCCAACTTGAAGGCAGGACCTTCCGACCCATGGGGCCTCAAAAGGTGAGAATGTTAGGAGAAACCATGTCTTGTAAGCCATGTGCCCTGTAGGGAGTCACGGTGCTTGTGATTTTACATTAGCTGTGCTAGGCTGGAGTCCTGGACTTGTATTGGCTGTCTTTGTGACCTTGGGCCAGTCCTGTTTTCTCTCAAGACCTGTTTCCCATTTCATAAATGGTACTTCCATCATATCTGGTAATAAAGATCGTAGTCCTGGAATAGAATTTATTGAGCTCTCACTGTATGTCGGGTCTGTGTAACACACTTTCCATACTGTATGTCCTTGAATTTCCATGCCCTTCCCTGTGGTATCCCTATTTTACAAGTGGGAAAACAAGCTCAGAGAACTGAAGTGCTTTGCCCACAATTGCATATCCAGGGTGAAGTGGGACTGGGATTCTCTTACCTAGGACCTAGCATGGCTTCCTAGGATATTGCATATTCATTCATTAGCCTCACTTTGACCCTGGCATCCCTCCACATGGGTTACCTGTCCTTGCCATCACTCCTCACCCTCCAGTTCCTCCTTCAGTGTGAGGTTTTGTGTGAAACATCTGGCAGCCGGTAGGTGCTCAATGTATGATGATGTGATTTATGTAGTCAAACAGGGCTGAATCAAATCCCAGCTCTTCCATGGATTGGGATTGGGGCCGCTGTTGCTTTTATGAGTTACTCTTCCCTGGATACAATGGGCTGCTCATGGTAGGATCCTTGTGAGGGGTCCCCCAAAAGTACTCCCCCCACACACACTTTTCCCCTCTGCCTTTGACCTGGGCTGGGAGTGGGTGGGAATGGTGGTAGTCTTCAACTGGCCTTTCTCAAGCCTGCATTCCTGCAGCTGAAGGAGGACCAGCAGAGGGCACTGCTGAGGCGGGAGTTTGAACTGCAGAGTCTGAGCCTCCAGCGGAGGCTAGAGCAGAAGTTCTGGAGCCAGGAGAAGAACATGCTGGTACAGGAGTCCCAGCAGTTCAAGCACAACTTCCTGCTGCTCTTCATGAAACTCAGGTGGTTCCTGAAGCGCTGGCGGCAGGGCAAGGTTTTGCCCAACGATGGGGATGACTTCCTGGAGGTATGGTTGGATCTGGGCCCAGCGGGGCGGGTGGGAAGACAGGGAAGATGGGATGAGTGGAACACAGCACTTCACATCAGTGTTGGTGCTTGAGGGGAGACATTAGTGTGCGTGAGTGTGGGGTGATCCTTGGACCCTGCAGGGCTGTTCCAGTCCTCAGTGGGAACCGTGTTGTCTTTCTAAATCCTAAATCCTGGAATCCTTAAGTTTGAATTCCAAACACACCTGGGGGTTGTGGGTGTAGCTCAGTAGTAGAGTGTGTTGTTAACATGCAGGAGCCCTGGGTTCCATCCCCAGCACCAAAGAAAAGAAAACAGAAACCAACACCCCTGGCCCTGAGGATTTCACAGGGCGAATTGTCCACCTAAGTGTAGGTCATCGAAAGACTGTGGGACTAGATCCATGTGACCAGTGTTGGAATTGGGGTGCTGCTCCTTTAGGACCCCACCCCACTTCCCAGCTTCATTATCGTCCTGGATATGTGACACTTGGATCCCTTCTTCATTGGTTTCTAGGATACCATACTCTTGGTTTCTCTTCTACCTTAAGGGTTTCTTATCTCCATGAACTCACCTTTTTAACTTTTTCTTTGGTGGTGCTGAGGATGGAACCCAGAGTCTTGTGGATGCTAATCACATGCTTTACCTCGGAGCCACAGCTCCTGCTCCCTGACCTCACCTCTTAAGAGACTCCAGCCAGGTGTGGTGAACACACCTGTAATCGCAGCACTCTGGAGGCTGAGCCAGGAGGATCACCAAGAGGTCAAGGCCGGCCTACACTATATAGTGAGTTCTAGGCCGGCCAGGACGAGACAGTGAGACCCTGCTCAAATAAACCTTAAAAATAAAAGATTTGGGAAGTAGGTGCCAGGCAAAGTGCCTTTGGTCCACGTTGAGCCATCACTCCCACTCCTCCTTCCTGCCTGGCTGTGCAGCCCCTCACCTGCCTGGGGTGCTAGCCAGCATCCCTGCCCCTCAAAGGCTGAAGCCCCAGGTGTGACTTCCTCTCACCCCTTGCTGAGTGTGACTTTTAAACATAGGTAAACAGCATGAAGGAGCTGTACCTGCTGATGGAGGAAGAGGAACTGAACGCCCAGCACTCTGACAACAAGTCTTACGCAGGGGACAGCTGGACTCAAAACACAGTGGGTTCTCAGCCTCTCCCCAGTACTGTCCACTCCTGCCACCTCTGATCCCAGTCCTGAACTGGGCACTGGCACTATAGAAGGGCATCGCCTGGTCACTGGGGCCCAGTTGCCTAGTGCTGTGGGATGCATAAGTTATCCCAGGGCAATGACAGAAGGCCAGATGATGGACTGTAGGGTCACAGGCAAGAAAGCGGTTAGTTCTATTTGACATATAGGGTACAATATCAGCAAGAAGGAGTTATAGGTAGTGGGTGTTAAAGGACAGATAGGAGCTTGCCTAAAAGAGAATGGAGAAAAGACCATTCTGGACCTTCTTGCAGAGATGTGGCAAGGTATTATGGGATCGGCTGTGGCTTGGAATAAACATGGTAGGGGCAAAGATAAGATAGAGTAACATGAAAAGGGACCTTTATGGTGTGGGATTAAGAACTCTCAAATCAAGTCACAGGTCAGAGATCTATGGGGTCAGACTTCTAGGGCTACACACGGAGAGGAGGGGTATGGATGGGAAAAGAGATCAAGAGCCCAGGAGAGAAGATTTGGGATCCAGTTCGGCACAGCTAGGGAGGCTTTGCAGTGGGTCAGAGACAGGTCCTGAGTGAGGGAAAGACCCACACCCTGGAGGCTGCAGAGCCTCGAGAGAGTGGGATTCTTCAGCTCCATTTAGGGGGAAGAACTATAGGAGTTACGTCATGTGAGGCTGAGACTTGTGTCAGTCCAAAAAGCAGCCAGGGTTGGGCTTGTCCTCCCTGTTTCATGGTGTCATGGCCTGAGGAGGGACTTTCTGAAGCCTCAGGGAGTCCCATGCTGGAGTCCCCGGCGGGCGAGCTCTCTGAGCTTCTGACCCAGCTGTGCTGTGTCTGCAGCCCAATGAGTATGTCAAGACGCTGGCCGACATGAAGGTGACGCTGAAGGAGCTGTGCCGGCTGCTGCGGGAGGAGCACCGGGGCCTGACCGAGTTGCAGCAACAGTTTGCCAAGGCCAAGGCTGCGTGGGAGACGGAGCGGGCAGAGCTCAAGAGCCATACCACCCAGGTGAGTCCACCTACCCCCGGCAGGGGTCTACTTGCCCTCAGCTGTCAGATCTGGGAGCTGGCTGCTCCTGGAGGGATAAGCCCCACCCCAATTTCACCTTGTGGTTCAGAGAGGGCAAGAGACTTGCCTAAAACTATACAGCAAGGGTCCCAGAGTGGGGACCAGGAGTGATGGGGCCACAGAAGGAGGCTGGAGGATTGACAGTCAGCTCTGATGCACTATGGGCCCACAGGTGAGGCCAGCCTGTCTCTGTGCCTCTCTGCACCTGGGCATGTCCTGTACACACTTCCTGGACTCTCATCCCTGCTGTCCTTATTTGCTCCTTCCTCTCCTCATAGGGATCCCCCAGCCCCCTGATTCCTTGCTCTGGTTTGTTCCCTCCACTCACACTGGGAGCCTCCCCTCCAACAGCCCAGCTTCACCAAAGGCACTTTAATCAGGATCCCTGGGAATTTAGTGTCTGCTCTGTGTCTGGGAGCAAGTTGCTGCCCACTCTGGTCTGACAGATGAGCAGGGTGCCCACTCAGAGAAGGTGCACTGACTCCACAGCTCTGAAGGGCAGGCTCCCGCCTGCTCCAGCCTGCCCCTGCTGCAGATGCTTTCCTGGGCATCACAGGGCACTGGGAGGTGGGCACTCTGGTGATCTCTGCAGGGCAGATGAGAGAACAGGCCCAGAGGAGTTGAGTTTCTTTCCAGTGTCACCTGGTGGTGCATCTACCATGCTCCCTGAGCCTCTGCGCCGCCTGGCTCCCAGGAGCACAATCTCACTTTCCTCTCAGTGCTCACAGGCACCTGGCTTCTTCCTGGGTCCCCTGCTCCCCACCTTAGCCTCTCTAAAGATCTCACAGTGCCTGCCCACCTGCATATCCTGGGGTCTATCCCTCTACTGCTCCCGCAAGCCCCGACATTCCAGGGGCTCCTAGCCCCTCACCAGCCACATGGGATTAACATCCCAGACCACATCCCCCAGTGTTGTGGGAGACATTGGCTCTTGAATTTTCTTGGTCTGGGACCAAGAAAAATGTCATGCTATGCTGGAGTAGTTCCTGCACACATGCATTGTGACTGTACATGTGTGAATGCATGTGTCCCTCCCCACGCAGCATCTTTGGGGGACAAGGCAGGGTCCCTGCTTTCTAGAAAGGGAGATAAAACATGTTCCCTATTAACCAAAATCTGTACTGCTGGTAAGAATTGATAAATATCAAGAGAAACAATAACTAGGAACATCTGCCGTGTTGTAGCTCTGTGACATGGGACACACAACTCCTTGGGACCTCTCCCTTCAGGAAACTGGAGAAGGTAATTCTGTGGCCAAGTTTCCATGGGGACACTGAGGGAAGGCCTGAGAGCCTGCAGCATGGAGCTTGGTTTGAAGAAGCGGCTCCTCAGTCCTTACTGGATACTGTGACCAAGGAGGGCTGTGGAGCCTTCTGGATGCTCAGGATGGGGAGAGGGCAGAGTGGAGTTCCCTGCTGCTGACAGCTGCCCGGCCCCTGTCCTCTGCAGATGGAGCTGAAGGCTGGGAAGGGGGCCGGAGACCGGGCAGGGCCTGACTGGAAGGCAGCCCTCCAGAGGGAGCGCGAGGAACAGCAGCACCTCCTGGCTGAGTCCTACAGCGCAGTCATGGAGCTGACTCAGCAGCTGCAGATCAGTGAGCGCAACTGGAGCCAGGAGAAGCTGCAGCTAGTGGAGCGGCTGCAGGGGGAGAAGCAGCAGGCAGAGCAGCAGGTGAAGGAGCTGCAGAACCGCCTAAGCCAGGTGAGTCTGGCTTCAGCCCACAAGACTTGAACTGAAAAGGAGAGTCACTTCTGGAAAAGTCCTGAGGGTGCATCTCTTCAGGCATTGCTGGACCCAGATGCTCAGACAATGAGGCCTGGGGTAGAATCTGTTTCAGATATAGCTGCATCCAGGCACTCAGAGATTACAGTAAGAACTAGGTCTTTCTCTCTGCCTCAGTCTCAAGCCTGCTTTCTTCTTTGTTCACTTTACTCTTAAGCAAACTATCCCCAAACATGGCTACTGTCAGTTTCATGCTCATATCTTGCATCTTAGCAAATACAATGGAAAGAGTTTCCTTTCCACAAGGTTCTGATTCTATACTCATGGGTCATGTGCCCACCCTTGGAGCCTACCAAAACCCAGGAACCAAGAGGGAGGAGGCAAGAGTGATTCTCATTGGAAAGTTGGAGTCCTGAGCAAAACAAGGGTGGGAGTATGAAAAGTAATCATTGACTATTACAGTTCACATCATGCACCCAGCTGCCACCCACCGCACTGCTATGCTTTTCTCTTTGACTTCCTCCTTTCTTTTACCGTTTTTTTTTTTTTTTTTTTTTGTAGCCCTGGAGATATATACCCAGAGCACAGATGGGGGCAAGGGCACCATACCTTGGGACCCACTACACTGTTGTTATTGTCATTGGTGCTCACTCAGCTTCCCAGTCTTGGGCAAGCTTCTTCCCTTCTCTCAGTCTTTACCCTCTCATCTGTGAAATGGAAATAAGCAGAGTCATATCTACCTTGTGGTTTCTGTAAGGGTGAAACAAATTAACATGGATATAGCAAACAGAAGAGGGGAGGGAGTCAGCGGTACCTCTGTGTTCAGTGGGAAGGAGTGCTGGGATCCATTAGTGATGGCCACCACTGATGACCAACAGGGTCCTTGGGTCTTTTTTTTTCACAGTACTGGAGATTGAGCCTTGACCTCAGGGCCTTCCCACTAAACTACATCCCCAATCCCTTATTTTTTTTTTTTTCTTTTTTTAAATTTTTTTTTTTATTAGTACCGGGGATCGAACTTGGGACCTTGCACTTGCAAGGCAGGCGGCAACACCACTGAGCTAAATCCCTGGCCCAAACACCACCTATCTGCCTTTTCTTTTTTTCAGTATCGGGGATCGAACTCGGGTCCTTGCACTTGTGAGGCAGGCAGTGGAACCACTGAGCTAAATCCTTGACCCCTTTATTCATTTATTTTTTCTGGTATCAGAATTTGAACTCTGGACTGCTTGCCAGGCAGGCATGGCACCACTGAGCTACATCCCAGCCCTTCTTTTCAGTTTTTATTTTGAACATGGGTCTTGCTAGATTGCTAAGTTGCCCAGGCTGGGCTAGAACTTGTGATTCTTTTTTTTTTGGTACAAGGGATTGATCTTGGGGCCTTGCGCTTGTGAGGCAGGGGGTGGAACCACTGAGCTAAATCCCCAGCCCTCATTTGCCTATTTATTTTGTTACCACATAGGTGGTCCTATGTTACATATACTGATAGCTCGCTCTAAGGATTCCTGCAAGTACTTCCTTGTATTATCATTTTCCAATTCCACCTTGTGGGTGGCTCAGAGCTGCTACTACTGAGAATCTGGCTCCTGATCCGTGACATGGGTTCTCTGACAGAGTGGAGTCTGGGGTGTAGCTGTGCTCAGAGCAAGTCTCTGCTCACCAGCTGTGCCCACCACTGATGCCTCTTTGCCCTTGTTCAGCTACAGAAGGCTGCTGACCCCTGGGTCCTGAAACACTCAGATCTGGAGAAGCAGGACAACAGCTGGAAAGAGGTGAGAGTGTTGCTGCCACCCATGTTCTCTTGGCTTCTGGATATACCATAAATTTAGTTCTCTTGTTTGTGGGGGACATGACAGGATGTTAACCCTGTCCTCCAGGGCTCCTTGGGGTTTTCAGCCCTGACATCTCTACCCCGTGGTTGCATGGTGTGTGACTTAGGAAGGGTCCTCTGCTGGGACCATCCTTCCACTCCTGGGAGAAACCTCTACCTCTCTTGGTATCACTTGTGCCTCTGTGGAAAGCAAGGTCTCTAAATGGCTATGGGATCTTGGGTATGTTAATCCCCACCTCTGGGCCCCAGTTGCCTCATTGATAAATGAGAATCTATTGTGGCCTAGCCCAGGGTGTAGAGATCAATAAGGTCACATTAATGACATCTACACATGAGGATCAAGTGCATTGTCACTAGAGCAATGTGCTAAATAACCAGATGGAACCTTTATATGGCCCATTTGGTCCTATGACAGCCTGGGGAAGTAGTGTGTCACTCAGAGACTTGAATCCAAACAACAAACATCTACCCTGGGGAGCTAAGGCAGGAGGATTTTCTTGGGAGCTCAGGGAAAGTTATAGGGGCTGTGCCTATAGAACCAGGGTGGAACAAGCCCACCTTGCTGCATGATCATTGCTGTCACTATGAACTAAAGAGCTGCCCATGGGGTGCTTTGTTGCTGCCACCACATTGGGAATAAGTTTTATGTGGTCATGCTTTCCTTGGGGATCACTCTTGGGGCCTCAGCTGCCCCACCCTGAATCTCATTCCTAGAGTGGAAGAGTTAGATACAGTGCAGCCAGAAGCTACCCAATGGGCATTCAGGATCATTGGTGACATTATTCAGCTCTCCAGATCAGGAGACACAGGCATGGAGGGCCAGGCCTAGCTCCCACACTCTCCTCCTATCACCTTCCTTCAGTGGCCAGAGCTGATCCTTCCTATCTTTCTTCTTCAGCAGACAAGAAGTGAGAAGATCCACGACAAGGAGGCTGTTTCTGAAGCTGAGCTTGCGGGAACTGGTTTAAAGAGGTGCTGGCAGCCCCTGCCCTGCCCTGCCCACACCCCAGCCCACCTGGCCTGCATCTTCCCCTTTTCAGAATTGGGAGAGCACTGGGGTGTGATTTCTATGGAACCCAAGTCTCTCAGGAGCAGGAAAGTCTGGGGGAAATGGGGATTCCAGCCAGGATTCCAGGCTGCAGTTTGATGTTTGTTTTAGATTCTGGGCATGGAAAACTGGCACCCTACCTTATTCTCACTAACACACTGTTTAGCTCCTCTTGGATTCTTTCTAATATGTGGTGTTAGGAGAGTTGCAGTGGGCATCATGATGGGATTATTAGGCAGCTTCCATTGAGCACAGCTCCATGAGGACCCCTGAGACAGGACCATATCTCACTAGTAGGAAACCCATGAAAGGAGTGAGGGAGACAGAACCCCCCAGAGCAGCTCAGAAGCAAGAGGCCCAAGCGTGGGAGAACAAGCGCTGCAGCCAGAGGGCTAGGTTTGATTTCTAGCTCACCTTGGGGAGTACCTCTCCTCTCTAGTGGGATATTAGAAGCTGCCCCTTCTAGGCTGTCAGAATGGTTGGGCATGTGCAATGGACTTTCATGTGCCCAGCCCTTCAGGCAATAAGTGCCCTATGTGTGCTGATGATTTAATGGAATCTAAGTTTGGGCTCCCCCTGAAACAACCTGAGACAAGGATTTACATGCAAATAGTTTATTTGGGAGTGGATTCCAGGAAATGGCCTAAAAGTGAGACAGGGAAGGAAGAACAGCCGGTAAAAAGAGTTGTTCTGTGAGCAGCTGACACTCAGTCTCACTGAGGAACTCTGGGAGCCAGAGGAGAACATGCACTTCAGAGTTACCCACTGAGGAACATGGGGAAACCAGCTTAAAGCGCTGGGAGGCTGAGGTGCCTACTCACCAAGTCCTGCTCGTGGTTTGTTGAGGGGTGTGTTTGGGGGCATTAACTCTGCTCTTCCTAGCTTCCTCTGTCTAGAAACCAAGTGTGTTGGTTACTTTTTTCTCTCGTGGCTGAGACAAAATAGCCAACACCCAAAGTTAAAGGGGAAAGGGTTTATTTAGCTCACAGTTTGTAGAGGATTTAGTCCATGATCGGCTGGCTCCAAGGCAGGGTGGCTTGGTAGAGGGGAATTGCAGAGGAGAAACAGTTCATGGCAGCCAGAAGGTAGCAAAAGCAACATGGGACCTTAACAGCCTCTTTCTGCTCTTTTTATCTTATTCAGACTACCAGGATTCGGGTGGTGCCAAACCAATCACATGTAGTGGTTTAGTAATCACACGCCCTTAATCCTAGCATCACAAATTCCAGATTTAGCTACCTTAGAAAAAGACTGCATGAGGCTTTGGGAGGACGTCTAGACACAAGCCACAACACCATAGCCAGAAAAAAAGCCCTGAGGTAGAAGATAGCAGGTGTTCAGAGGATGCAGGTAGGAGTGAGAGAAGATGGGAGGCACCCACGGTGACTTCTAGAGGTGAGCAAGGAGCCTCGGTCCTGGCCTGCACACACCAAGGAAGTAGACCATGTATGTGCTCAGCGTGTTATTTTCCACTAATACCACTTTTTCTTTTCTGCTCTTCCCAGGACCAAATCTGTCTCCTCTATGTCTGAGTTTGAAAGTTTGCTCGACTGCTCCCCTTACCTTGCTGGTGGAGATGCCCGGGGCAAGAAGCTACCCAGCAGCCCTGCCTTTACCTTTGTAAATCCCGAGCCGGTGGATCCAGAGAAAGAAGCCAAGGAAAACCCTGGGCTCTCCTCACAGGACTGCAACCGCTTGGGCACCCTGGCCTGTCAGGACCCTGCTGGGAGGCAGATGCAGCGCAGCTACACAGCTCCGGACAAGACAGGCATCCGAGTCTACTACAGCCCCCCAGTGGCACGGCGCCTGGGTGTGCCTGTGGTCCATGACAAGGAGGGCAAGATCCTCATTGAGCCCGGCTTCCTCTTCACCACAGCCAAGCCCAAAGAGTCAGCCGAGGCTGACGGGCTGGCTGACAGCTCCTATGGCCGCTGGCTCTGCAACTTCTCCCGGCAGCACCTGGATGGGGGTTCTGGGGGCAGCACCTCGGGTCCTGGGTCTGCCTTCCCCACCACTCTGCATGACTTTGAGATGTCGGGCAACATGAGTGACGACATGAAGGAGATCACGAACTGTGTGAGGCAGGCCATGCGCTCCAGCTCGCTGGAGAGGAAAGTGAAGAGCACGTCCAGCCAGACAGTGGGCCTAGCCAGTGTGAGCACTCAGACCATCCGCACAGTCAGTGTGGGCCTGCAGACAGACCCACCACGCAGCAGCCTCCATGGCAAGAGCTGGTCACCCCGCAGTTCCTCACTTGTGTCCGTGCGCAGCAAGCAGATCTCTTCCTCCCTGGACAAGGTCCACTCACGCATTGAGCGACCATGCTGCTCGCCCAAGTATGGCTCACCTAAGCTCCAGAGGCGATCTGTGTCCAAGCTGGACAGCACCAAGGACCGCAGCCTGTGGAACCTGCACCAGGGCAAGCAGAACGGCTCCGCCTGGGCCCGTTCCACCACTACACGGGACAGCCCTGTGCTGCGGAACATCAATGACGGGCTGTCCAGCCTCTTCAGCGTGGTGGAGCATTCAGGGAGCACAGAGTCTGTCTGGAAACTCGGCATGTCTGAGGCCCGGGCCAAGCCTGAGCCTCCCAAATACGGCCTTGTGCAGGAGTTCTTTCATAATGTGTGTGGCCGTGCACCAAGTCCCACCTTGGCAGCAGGGGAGGAGAGCTCTAAGAAGCCAGAGCCCCTCTCCCCAGCCAGCTACCATCAGCCAGAGGGCATGGCCAGGATCCTGAACAAGAAAACAGCCAAGGCAGGTGGTGGTGAGGAGGCCAGAGCCACCATGCTCCCTCAGGTGGGGAAGGATGGTGTCCCACGGGATGGAGACGGAGCCTCAGTCCTTCCCAATGAGGTGGGTGGGTGTAGTTTGCACTTTTTCTTGGGAGAAGGGATTAGCTTGTAAGGTCCAAGCTCTTTTGGTTTTTAAACTCGAAGCATATGATCCCATGTCTGAAAAAGTTCTTAATGATGGTCAGGGATGGAGATGGAAGCTCCCTGACTGGGGAACAGCACATACCTGGTGGTCACATGGTCTGAATCCCAAGAGACCAGTGAGCATGGCTTAACTGGCTGCTTTGCCACCACACAGCGGTGATCTCCGGGGAAGAGGTGTTGCCCCCAGTGGTGGGCCTGTAAGAGCCAATCATTAACTGTTCTGTGTTAGTAGTATTGCCTTGGTACCTGAGATTGTCCAGGTGGGAGGATTGACACCATAAAGATAGGAAAAGGCTGCAAATCAGAGTTCCTCCCCTCCTAGAAATCTCCTTTCCTCCTCTCCTGTTCTCTCCCCTTGTCATGGTACAGGGGATTAAACTCAGAACATCCTGCACGCTAGACAAACACTGTACCACTGAGCTATACTCCTAGCCCTTTTTATTTCATTTTTGAGACAGGGTCTCACTCAGTCACCCAGGCTGGGTTCAAACCTGCAATCCTCCTGCCTCAGCCTCATGAGTAACTGGGATTACAAGCATGGGCCATCATACCTAGCTGAAAACTGGTTATTAAACATTAACCCACCTGGGCCGGGGATTTAGCTCAGTGGTTTCGCCATCTGCTGCGCAAGTGCGAGGACCCAAGTTCGATCCCTGGTACCAAAAAACAAAAAACAAAAAACCATTAACCCACCTGCCACTTCCCCCACCCCATCTACATTTCCCAGCCAGGGAATGATGGCACAAACTTGTAATCCCAGCACTCTGGGAGGCTAAGGGAGGAGGATTGCAAGTTTGGGTGACTTAGTGAGACCCTGTCTCAAAGTAAAAAATGAGTTATAAAAAGGGGCATGGGGATATAGTTCAGAGCAAATGCCCTAGATTGAGTTCCCAGTACCATTAAAAAAAAGACTTCCCACTTAAGTGTTCACATTCTCTCTGACTCTTCTATTGCCACTCCTGATAGCAATTCTGATAAATTTGGGATTATTTGAATGTTAGTAAAGGAATGGATCTAAGTTAGAGATACAGAAGGAGAAGGTAGACGTCTCTGAAGGTTGACAGTGTCTTATGGAACCTAAGAACAAGGACCTGACAGCCTCAGCAGCTTCTCCATCTGTCCTCCCTCTTGAATTTCATTTTCTGTTATGTCTTCCTCCTTCTCTGTGTCTTTCTATTGCATTTTTAGGAGTAGCTGGGCTGTTCCAGCTCTGGTTTTGTAACATCTTCCACCTAAAGCACCTAGGAGGCACTGACTCAAATCCCTCCATCCCAGTTTCACATTTCTGAAAGAAACTGATTGGTCCACGTTGGGTCAGATGTACCACTTGGTGCAGTCGGCTGTGGCCACGGCTAGTGCTGTATGGTCTGCTGGGGACTCAGTGCGGGCCGCAGGTGGGGACCCAGAGATATGAGGAGGCTGTGGGGGGGGGTGTGCTGTGCTGACCCAAAAGGTCTCCTTCCCTATTATTGTATGTTTAGGTGATTTCTAGTTTTCCTCTATTATAAATAGTACTGGGGTAAAGATCTTGTTCTACAGTTTTAGACATTTCAGATTATTTCCTTACGCTTGAGCTGTAGAAATGTGATTATAGGATAAAATAACATAAATGTTAAAAGTATTTTACAAATGTTACAAATTGTCTTTTAAAGAATATGTCCTGGTGGGGGTGTAGCTCAGTGGTAGAATGTTTTCATAGCAGTCATGAGTCCCTGGGTTCAGTCCTAAGCGCTGAAAAAAAAAAAAAAAACCCACAAGTGAATTGGGTAAGTACAATATTTTCATTCAGTAGAATATTATAGAACCATTAAAAAAGATTTAGACTACAGTTAAAAGTTTAAAAAAAGTTGTTTAAAAAAAGTGTGCATGCTTTCCAATTGCAGAATGGGCTGTTGTGAGGTCATAGTGGTAAATGTACATATCAGTATATTAAGAATAAGCAAAAATTGGTCCAGAAGCTGTCCCAAGGCCAGGCCCTAGGGAACTGGTCTGTGGGTAGTCTGAGCTATATGGGTCGTCTAGACTGTACTTCCTGGCTCCTCCTGACTTCCTTCCTCCTCCTCCTAGGATGCTGTTTGTGACTGTAGCAGCACCCAGTCTCTCGCCGCCTGCTTCTCCCGGCCATCCCGCTCTGCCATCCGCCACTCTCCTTCCAAGTGTAGGCTGCACCCTTCCGAATCTGGCTGGGGAGGGGAGGAGAGGGCAGCCCCCTCCAGTGAGTGACAGAATATCCAAGTCCCCACCTCAACTCACCCAGTCCCTGGATGACAGGAGGGAACAGTGGAGAGGAGGTGAGGAGAGGAGGCGAGGGGCTGTTCCCTCAGCAACGCGGCTCCCTGGAGGGACAGCAGCTGTGCCACTGCCAGCAGAGAGCTTTCATATCAAGGTAAAGCAGGGTCTCATGCTGACCACTGGGTGGTAATCTCTGACTTCCCAAGGGAAGACAGTGAGCAGGAGAAGGACCACAGCTGGGCCTTGTAAGCTTCTACGGAGAGCTCATCAGGACTGATCCCTGGTCCTAAAGGAGACCTTTGTCTGCTTCTACCCGCACCCACTCCTTGCAAGAGCCCAGGAAGGGATATACCTCCAGCCATGCCTGTGAGGAAAGGGCCTCACAGAGATATTACCTGCTGACTGCACCCTTTCCCTGGGAAGGAGATGTCACTGAGAAGAACTGCCTTTGCTCTTGGACCCACCTTGGTGTTCCCGGTAGAGCAGGGCTGGACATCAACACCATAGCCTCCACCACCTTCTCTCCCTATCCCTGCTGCCCCAGATTGCTAGGAGTTTAGGGGGTATGAGAGGGCAGTAGTCAGGGCCAAGTGTCTATTTGGAATCCTGGAGCCCTGGATCTCCCTGCCCATACCTGGATGCAGCCCAAACTGGGAGATAAGGTGGAAATGTGTAGGGAATTGCCTGCCTTGCCAAGGTGACTTGCAGGAACCCAACCTTCCCAGGAGACTCGGTGAGGCCAGAAATAAGTAGACTCAATCTCAAGACCTAGTACATAGATAAATGCCTACATGCCCACGCCTTGATCTCTGGGGCCTCTTTCCCTGGTGCCCTGAAGGGGCACCGCATCTCCACTGTGTTTACATCCTGCAGCTGGTGAGATATTCCCAATACAAGACGCCCAGGTGGTCAGGTCAGGCCAATAACTCCAAGAACTCAGTGTCCCAGGACACAGTAGCAGACTGGGGCATGGAAACACATGTCTTGCCTAGATTGTTTATTTGAATTTTTCATACTATAAATATTTAAGGTAGTTTACTTTATTTTAATAATTTAATTTACCCAAAAGCCCCCAAGTTAATTTATTGGAGGGTAAGACCTGTATTTTTGCCACTGGGACAATGTGGGGCCTCAAACCTCATGAACAGGCGTGAAGTCCCCCCATATGGATGAGGCAGCTCAGCTGCCAAGTTCTGGTCTCCTGCTCAGTTTGGGGGGCCCCTCCCCAGAGCTAGGGCCTGCAGCTTGCTCCTCCACCTCACTGACCATTCAGCTTCAGTGTACTCCTTTCACTTAGTACGTGGTACTTGCCTGGCCTCCGTAGGTCCGTGTGTAAATGCGCTGGACAGGGTGGCCGGCCAGACTGACGCCACCATTCCCCAAACATCCTCCATTTCCCTTCTTGTTTTCCTCCCTTCTCTGACACCTTTCTCAATAAGTCAAATGCAGATTACCATGGCTCCAGCAAGAGCATGGAGATCCCTCCAACTTTCCCAAGTGAGAACTTGCAGGAAAACAGGATGAACTTCGAGAATGTTGTTTATTGCAGCTTTGCACACGGACCTGAGAGTGTCTACCAGCCCGCCAGCCTTTTCACCAGCCTGTCTCCTTAGCCTTATGGCCTCTCACTGCTCTTCTCCCAGCCTCAGCTCCACTGCCTGCCCTTTCTCACACCCGTGGGAACCACAAGTGCCGTCTGATGGACTGAAGTGTGGCTCGCTGCAGTACAGTGAGGAGGGCCTCACATTCCCTCCCCCTCGGTGCCAATGAACCCATTTTGGTTGCACACATGTCCACCTTCCCTCTGTCAACCCACAGATGTGCAATCCTCCTGCCACTGCTGGGAACCAAGAGTCACATCCCAGGATGAATAGGCTTGTCTGCAGAATTCCCCCATCAGAAAGGATGCAAGTCAGCAGTGTTGCTAGTTTGTCCCCAGGATGCAGAAGACGGCTTGCACTCCCACCTACTAGTTCCCAGTGTACCCTTTCAAGGGCATCTGGACAGACACCCAGAATCTTTTATCTCCATTCCCTATGGGCAGCATGTCATTCCTGCCAGCTGCTCCTTCATACTCTAGTGACTTGGATGGACAGAGCGGGTGGCCAGTGGAGTTGTGGGCCAGTGCCTCTACAATACTGCCACTTCCACCCAAGAGGTCAGGGGCCCCTCCACATCTGTCTCCAGGTGAAGGGGTTCACATAGGTCACAAGCCACAAGAGGCCTTCTGCCACCTCCCAGAGCTGCAGAAGGCCAGGGAGGCTGCACTCTTAGCCTTGGGGAAAAGTCCCGGTGAGACCCAAACCCCAAGGCCTGTGGGCCACTTAGCCTTACCATCGTCCTCATCTGAGATTGTCATGCTATCTTTATCGTCACAGCATCTGGCCCCAATGGGTGTTTGAGGTTCCAGGTCTTGGTTTTCAGCGAAGTCCCAGTTTCTCCTTCTTGGCATGCCACTGTTCAAGGCCACTTGTCAATGTTCCTACAGAAGCCTCTGGATGTGGGGCTTGATGGGATTTTGAAAATGTTACGTGTAAATATTGGTTTGGTTTAATTTTTTAGCATTTTACTTGGTAACTGGTTGTGTTTTCTTTCTTGGGGTGGGAGGGTTGGTTTGTAAAAACTCTCTACTCTTTTGGAATGTGATTTCTAAGTTTGTTTTGTCAAATGCCTTTTACATCTTGGTAACATTCCCAAAGCAGAAACTGCCTGACCCACAGTGGGGTCTCCCTTAGAGAACTGAGAGTCCCAAGATGGAATGCTGCCCTTCTTCCCCTTTCTACTCCTCTCTACCTTTTGACTGCTACCCCTTCCACCTTCTCCTCACCTAATCTTCTTCCTTTTGTCCTGTCTCTTAAACCAAAGTCCCAAGGAACCCTGGGGTCCCAGTCCCCTACAGACTGGTTGACTTGGATCCATGGGTTGGCATCAGCTGGTTGGGGGAAAAGGTGTACTATTTCTATGGTTGACCCCACACTAAATGACTTCCCATTTCTTATGTCTGACCTCTTCCCAGAGCCAAATTAAATCCTCCTGCAATGGGCTCTGTATTTGAAATGAAAATCAACTTTAACACATCAGTGACTCTAAGGCCTGGATGCACAAGGGATCAGAATCTAATTCCTGTCCCCTGCCCATTTCCTCAACAAAGGCTGACCTGTAAAAGGACTGTGCTTTATGAACTCGAAATGGGTCCCATCCCTTGGCCTCCCTTGGGTTGCTCTTCTACCAGCTAGCCTCCAGGTCACAAAGCTGAGGGCTCAAAGGCTTGACCCTAATCTTACATTTCCATGCCTATTCAGCTCCATCATGCCCACTCCCATGCACCTTTCATGGATTTATCCCCTGTCTTCTTCTGTTGCCCATGTAATATCCAGACTTTTCCTCCTTTTCCCTGCCCATCCAGGATGTTCCCCCTTCCAGCCTTAGCAGCCTCTAAGCTCCCACTACCTCTTCTTTAATAATAATAATAATAATAATAATAATAATAATAATAACAACCCCCTGTACATCCTGCCCTATGCACTTTACTATTTAGAGATCATTTCCCAATCCCCCATCCCCTCCATGTCTCTCAAGGACAACTGTAGGAAGCAGCCTTGGCAGAGCTTCATGCGTTCATTCTGTGTCCAGGGCCTCTGCAACTGAGCTACATCCCCAGCCCTTTTTAATTTTTTATTTTGAAACAGAGTCTCATTAAATTTCCCAGGCTGGGCTTGAACTTGTGATCCTCCTGCCTCATCCTCCCAGAGTCCTGGAATTACAGGCATGCGCCACAACACCTGGCTGCATGATGCTATATTCTTAAAAAGAACCCTGTCCACCTCAACCAATCTTGGTGGTTTTTTTGTTTGTTTGTTTGTTTGTTTGTTTTCCAATCTTGGTTTTGATCTAATTATCCTGAAGATTTCCAAGAATCATCAGAGGCAATTTATAATTTTAGTCATATGTGTTTCACAATACAAGAATAGAAAAATGCAAAAAGTAGAAAACAACACATACTAAAATGATTATTATTCAAATCTACCTAATTTAATTCCTATAACCATGCAGTTAACTTTCACTCTTAGCTGGCCAAGGTATTACACACCTGTAATTCCAATTACTTAAGAGGCTGAGGCAGGAGGATCATGTATTTGACCCCAGCCTGGGCAATTTAATGAAACTGTCTCAAAAAAATAAGGGCTGGGGATATAGCTCAGTGGTAGGGCACTCCTGGGTTCAATCCATAGTACTGAGAAAAATTTTTTTTCTTTCCCTCTGTTTTCCTAGCAGCCATGATAAAAAAGAAACAATCAGAATTTTATAACTTTCATCATCCATTCATGGGAAGTGGAATGCTATAACTTTTGTCTTTTGTTTCTAGCTTTTTTAGGGGAAGAGGATACTGAGAATTGAACCCATGGCCTTCACACCGAGCCACATCCCCAATCCTTTTTTATTTTGAGACAGGCTCTTCCTTAGTTATCCAGTTTGGGCTCACACTTACAGTCCTCCTGCCTCAGCCTCCCAGAGTGTCAGGATTACAGGCATGTGCCAGCATGCCCTGCTCTGGCTCCTCTTCTGCTTAGCTTGTTCGCACCAGCAGATGGGCCAGCCCATGGCCAGGTTTTCCTCTTCTAGATCCCAGGCTTATTTTATTGTAGCACCATCCCTCAGCCTTCCCACAGCATCCTCCCCAGCACTGCTCCTTCCTGTGGGTTTTCCTACAACCTCAGCAACACACTCCTCCCTCCCACGGTCACATTCAGGGAAGTACCCCTGGCTGCCCTGTGTATTTATTTTGTGTTTTCTCACACTAGAGTGGGCCCTTTCCCCGATGTATCATGCAGCACAGCCTTGCCAGCCCTTCTCATTGGGTTCACACTCCCCTAGCACCTCCCAGTGCAGAAAGACATCCCCCAGGCCCACCCTCCAAGCCATACTGTCTTTCTGTCCACAGCCTCCAAGTAGCAACCCCAGCACCTTCCACTGAGGAGAGTGTGGTGGGCATGAACTTGGATTCCCTCTTCCAGCCTCCTCTGCCCTCCCCAGTGCTACATGGCCTTAGTTGTAAAGCAGATGCAGCCCGACTTGGGTTCTTCTCTCTGTGGCCATCTGTCCCACTATCTGAGCAACTCTCTGTCCGCTCTGGGCCACCTTACCTCCCAACCTAACAAAACTTGCAGTTTGCAGAATCCCCAGACCCAACATCCACGGGACTGAAGACAATTCTGGGCCTGAATTCCTCCTCAGGTCTCCACCACTTGCCCTGCGCACTCCAACCTTACCCTCCAGAGACCCTCCTTGTCCCCTCATCTATCCCATTGGCCCTGCTCCCCTCCCTTTTCACCTATCACCAGGTCTTTGGACACCAGACCCCAGGGATTTCTTCAACATCCTGGATGGACTAGGCAGTCAGGGACAGGCTGCCTCCTTTGAAGCTCCATTCTGAAACCACCCAAGCCACTCTCATGAAGAGGGCCCTCAACTAGCAGTCTGCCCCTATTCTTGGCTGATCTCATCTCTGGCTCTCCCAACTTTATGGTCCTCTGAGGAGCACTAGGATGACCCTATGGGCCCCAGAGGACCCCTCAGGTCCTGTAGCCCCATCCTTTCTCTGCTTGGCCCTGGTATCCTGGTTCCTCTCTCAGCTGTGCCAGTGATCTCTGTGCCTTAGTTTACTTCTCTGCACAGGGGGGCGCTCACCACAAGACCATTCCCGTTAGCTTTTTAGATCCTTTGGTGCCTATAATGCTGGCTCTTGCCAGCATGGCTCTGGCTAGGGGTACCAGGTTGCTGAGGATGAGGTGACTAGGGACACCATTCCAGACCAGTAGTTTTCAGATTGTGTCCCAGTAGCAGAATGAGAATCTGACAGAAGTGCAGATTATCAGCCCTGCCCAATATCCACTGGATTAGAACTTCTGGAGCAGGGCCTACCAAGTTAGGGTTTGACAGAGCCTTCCAAGTCATTCTAATATACACAGGTTTGCCAACTGGACTCCTCCCAGTATTGCCTTGGGAGGGGCTGGGGTTGGCCCAAGCCAAGAATAATGGAAAGCATTTCATCTGGACTTCTGAGATTGGAGAAGCCCCCAAACAAAACCAACCCTCTGTGTCTTCTTTCTAAAAGCCAGAGAGGATGCAGTTTTCCTCTTTTCTGCTCCTGGCTGGGTTCCAGCTCTATTCACCTCTCCCACCTGTCTGGATTTTCCAGACTGCTGCGTGGGTATTAGGAGTAGGCAAGGGTGGGAGCCCTGGGGAGGCAGGTGGCAGAGGAGACTGTTTATCCTTTGGGAACATCATAGGCCAGATGGCTTCTCTTGAAATGGAAAGAAAGCCAACTACACAAGAAGAGAATCCTAAATCTCCTTGTGCTCCCTTTCCTTTTCCTGTCTCTCCTCTTCCTCCCTTCCCCACCCCACAGAGAACTTGTAGACAGTGCCAAAAAACCAGCTCTGGCCCCCAGCCCCTTGGGAAGAGAGCCAGAAGTTGCCCTTCCTCATCCTGCTCCCCCCATCCCCTGCCAGTACTGTGAAGCCCCCTTCCTGCTCAGCCTGATTTCCTGGTGAGGGTCCTGTAGTCATGGGTCCCGGGGGAGCCCCAGGGAAAGGCCCTTGGGAGGGAAGGGACCAAGGGCATCCTTGGGCCAACTGTCCTCCTCTTCCTTACACTGTTTGCTCCTCCTCACTTCTGTCTTCAAAAGGCTCCTTCCCAGGATGGATTGGGTGCTAGGACTACTGCAGTCCAATCCACCAGCTCTCCCTGCCCTGTCTTATTTTGACATGAGAATAACTGTACAGTATGAACTTACAAAGTGTTTTTAATGGTTGTAGATTGGAAATAAAGTATGTCATATGAATGGTTGCTGTGGACTTGGCCTCCTCTCTGATTTCTCCAGCAGATCTGAAACTCAACTCCATCTCACCTGCTGTTGCCAGGGGAGAGGGGACTGCCGCAACCAGCTGGCAGGTTTGGAGTCACTTGGCAGGAACCCCCAGGTGTTCTGGCTGCTGAGTACTGGTAACTCAGTGTCTCCCACAAAATGTGTTATGACCACTGAGAAACAAAGCACAGCATTCAAAAAGAAAAATAGAATTAAACTTTTCTACAAAAGACAGTTTATTCTGGAGAAAAAGACACTTGACATTTCAGAGTAAATTATACTGAATCATTTCATTCCACAGGTCAGGAATTAGGGAGCTGGGTAGTTCTTTTTTTTTTTTTTTTTTTGGTACCGGGGACCGAACTTGGGTCCTTGCACTTGCACAGCAAGCAGCGAAACCACTGAGCTAAATCCCCGGCCCTGGAGGTGGGTAGTTCTGATTCAGGGTCTCTGGAAGTTGTAGTTAGACATCATTTAGGCTGCAGTGTTTTTTGTTTGTTTGTTTGTTTGTTTGTTGTTGAGACAGGGTCTTACTGTGTAGTTTAGACTGGCCTTGAACTCACTATGTACCCCAGGCTGGCCTTGAACTCACAGTGGTCCTCCTACCTCAGCTTCCCTAGTGCTGGGATGACAGACATGGGCCACCATGCCCGGCCACAGTGTTATTGTATGTATGTGTGTGCATGTATGTGTGCACACACAAGCTCACTGGGGATGGAACTCAAGGCTTCACTCATGCAGAGCAAGTGCTGTACCACTGAACTACAGCCTAACGCTGGCTGCAGTTTTCTGAAAGCCAGACAAAGGCTGGAAGATCCATTTACAAGGTGGCTAATTCACATACCTAGCAAGTTGGTGCTGGCATGTGGTCCTCTCCAAAGAGCTCCTTGTGTGTCCTCCCAAGGGGGCTCACTTCCCCCAGAGGAAGGGCCCATGAGAGAGCAGGGTGGAAGTCACACTATCTTTTATAGCTAAGCCTTGAAAGTCACACACTATCATTTCCACTGTTGGTTACACAAACCAGTCCTCCAGTGTAGGAAAAAACTGCACAAGGGCATGAACGCCCAGAAAATGGGGTCATTAGGGGTTGTCTTGGAGGCTGGCTATCACATGATGCTTTGACAGCTCTCCTCTTTTATGTGGGGCTAACTATAGTGAGTTCTGTGCCAAGCATTGAGGATACAACAGGTCAACGTAGAAAATATCAAATGTCAGTAGCAAGGGGTATCCTGGGAGATCAGGAAAAGCTCCAGAGAAGTACAAACATCTGAACTGACATGAGGTTGAAATGTTGACCAGATGAAGGGGATAGTAGTGCATTGTAGGCAGGAGACAAGGGGAGATAGTTCAGGGAGAGGAAAGTATGCATGAAAGCCCAGTAAAAAGACAGCAGAGTAGAACTGGAGAAATGATAGAAGTTTGAGGTCAATGGAATGAGGAATGATAAAGAAGAGGCAGGGTAAGATCTTACAATGCGTTTGCCGCCTGCCTTGAAAGTGCAAGGTCCTGAGTTGGATCCCCGGTACCAAAAAAAAAAAAAAAAAGATCTTACAGTGTCTTATAGGGAAAGAGTCTTTTTTTTCCTCATTACTAAGAATGGAACCCAAGATGCTTTATAAATGAGCTACACCCTTTTTTATTTTTTTATTTTAGACAAGATCTTGCTGTGTTCCCCGGGCTGGCCTCAAACTTGCAATCCTCCTCCCTCAGCTTCCTAGCTAGGATTACAAGTGTGCACCACCATACCCAGCTGGGAAAGAATATACATCTTGTAGACAGGAAGAAACCATACATTCAAAGCAAGGAGGGCCGGGGATTTAGCTCAGTGGTTCCACCGCCTGCCCCACAAGCGCAAGGACCCGAGTTTGATCCCCAGTACCAAAAAAAAAGCAAGGAAAGGACACTGTCAAAGGATGTACTGGGTTTAGTTTCCATAAAGCAGTATACTCAGTGTGACCCAGGATGGGCAGCCCTGGGTGAGACGGTGGGGTGGGGCGGGGGGCACTTTTAAGTTCTCTTAATGCAACATTGACACATGGGGAGTTGAAGATGGGGGCATTCATAGAGCTGGAAAACTCTGAGCTCCAGAAAGTGATATTAAGGGAACCAAGGGCAAATCTCTGCTATCAGATGGTTGGATCCAGCAGGCTGGAACCACAGGTTGGAAATTTCAGGAAGGCAGATTGCTACCTTTTACCAGAAAACTTTTCCAGTGACCACAGCTGCTAAAGAAGGATGATCACAATCATGTTCCTGTTGCCTTTCATCCATTCCTCTTTTGGACTTTATGGATTGCTCTTAATTCACCATCTTCAAGTTTCAGATCTGGAAAAAAAAAAAAGACTTCTATATGTGGTAGCATATGCCTAAAACCCCAGCATTCTGGGAGACTGAGGTAGGAAGATTGTAAGTTTCAGTCTAGCTTGTTAATAAAAACCCTCTCTCAAAGTAAAAAAAAAAAAAAAAAAGAGCTAGGGATGTATCTCAGTGTTAAGGCTCTGGGTTCAATCTCCAGTACAATAATTAATAAAATAAGTAGGACTGGGGATATAGCTCAGTAGTAGGGGATCTGTCTAGCATATTCAAAGCACTGGGTTCAATTCTCAGTACTGAAACAACTAGGTTTGCTTTCAGTATTACTGGGTTAACAGACATACTGGAAAAGTGGTAGTTAAAAAGTGGACTAGTCTTCAAGGCTATGAAATTAAGGGACACACCTGGAGACAACTCAGCCTTTAAATACTGTGTATTCTGCAGAGCAGAAATATCACGAAGCCAGAGCCAAGAAAAACAAGATCATCAAGATCAAATCCAGGGCCAGGGATTTAGCTCAGTGGTGCTGCCGCCTGCCTCACAAGCACAAGGTCCTGAGTTCAATCCCCAGGACTAAAAAAAAAAAAAGTCAAATCCACTAATGGCCAGGTATGGTGGCACACGCCTGTTATCCCAGCACTCTGGAGGCTGAGGCCAGAGGATCGCCTGAACTACATAGCAAGACCCTGTCTCAAAAAACAAAACAAAAGAATAAAAGTATTGTTTGTGTGCCAAGGTGCTTCTGATTCTTCTGATAGCACAGTAAGAAAGCATAGTAGGAGCTGATAACAGTAGGGACAGATATATATATGGAGGGACGGATGGAGGGAAGGGGGGGGGAGACGGGGGGTGGTTATTGAGATTGAACCCAGGGTCTTTACACTGAGCTAGCTACATCTCCAACCCTGTTTTACAATTTTTTTGTTGGGGTGTACCAGGGATCAAACTCCGGACCTTGCACTGGCAAGGCAGGTGTGGTGCCACTGAGCTAAATGCTCGGCCCACCCTTTTTTTACAGTTTTTTGAAAAATGTTCTTGCTAAGTTGCCCAGGCTGGGCTCAAATATACAATCGTACTACCTCTGTCTCCCAAAGTGCTGATGTTGTAGGGTGGTTCCTTTAGAAATGGCTTGGCAATTAGAAGTATTCCAGGTCTTTCTTGCCTCCAACAAAGAATTGGGCAAGCCAAGCCAAAAACGATGCCAAAAGTTTATTGGAAAAGGGATAAGGGAAGAAGGAGCTCTGCAGAGGGAACTTCGGCCAAACAAAAGGGAGGAAAGGATAAGAGCAAAAATAAAAGTGCACTCTTCATGGACTACCATGAGGAGTCACAATAGTGGGCTCCCTGTGGTGTTTGTGGCCTCATATTTGTCCACATCTCGTGGGAACCTGCAAGAGGTTCCACATAGGGGCCCTGGGAATTATTTGGTGCTGTCTTGGGATCTTGTAATTAATAGGTCCCATTTATTTTCCTCTGCAGCTTTGCCACACCCTACCTCTTATATCATTGAGATTACAAGCGTGGCCCACTATGCCCAACACAAAGGGACATTTTGAAGGCACCATGCTGGGTGCTAAGGAAGCAGTATGCTTCTGGACCCTCCTCCACCAGCGATAATGGAGCAGGCACATATTGCACTCCTGGGAGCACAGAAAGGTCATCTGCTTTTCAGCACTGAAACACAGAAAAGGCTTTGTGAGACAATTGTTTAGTTAAGACTTAAACTTGGGGGACCGGGGATTTAGCTCAGCGGTTCCGGCTCCTGCCGCGCAAGCGCAAGGTCCCGAGTTCGATCCCTGATACCAAAAAAAGAAAAAAAAGACTTCAACTTGGGGGTTTTCGCTAAGAAGAGCTGGAAAAAGGATTCCTTGGGAAAAGGTAGGGCTTGAACGAAGGAGCAGAAGAAACAAAGCGGGGTAGGCAGAGCTGCAAGCAGTTTCGGGAGGACAAGATTGGAAAGGAGAGTTCCCGAACTTTGTAACACACTGAGGAGCCACGGAAGGACCCCTGAAGAAGTGTGATAAACTGGAGCTCAGAGCTCTAATCCACCCTGAGAGTCACAGTCCAGTCTTCAGGAGATAAGGAGATAAAAGGAGGCAGGACCAAGGTAACGGGGACAGAGCATCAGATGCTCGCTGATGCGCTGTATTCTTTTCACAAGTATCTCTCTGAACCTCTGTTTCTCCATCAGATATGAGCACGGAGGCTCGTGGGGCGCAATGAGGACGGACCACAGAGTGCCAAGCAAAGAAGCTGACTCCCCGGACTGGGTGTGGCTGGTGAGGTGATGACGTGGCGGTGGGGATTCGGGAGGAAAGATTTGGAAGAGCAGCACAGCAGCTAGAGCGCCAAACACCGGGGTACGCATGCGCCTAGCTAGAGGCAGGTGTTCTGCGCGCATGCGTTCCAGCGGCCCGCTGGACGCGCATGCGCTCTTGATTGGCGGGAGTTTCGCAAATGGCGGCGTAGGCACAGACAACGGAGTAAGATCTAGACTGTCTCTTGAAAAGTCCGATAGAGACGCAGTCCCAGGGGTGACCTGAGATTTTGTGTTTCTGGAACAGAAGCTCTGGGCAGAACTGGCGTCGCTCTGAGGTCAGGAAGTCGCACACTCCTCGCAGGATGTGTTTCCGGTCATTCCCTTACTAGTGGCTTGGCCTAGCCCAACCCACGGCATCCTGTGCTCCCGACTTCTAGCCCCAGGGGCCGGGGATGGGGTGGGGGGCCTGCGACCTCCTCCCGGAATGGAAAGAAACCTGAGGTCGAAGCAAACCTCCCGCTCGGTCAGAGCCAGCGGTCTAGGATCCAGAAAAGAGGTGCAGGTGTGTGTGTGGCTTGGATGGAGCTGAGGTCAGACTTTTTGTCCCCTCTGAATCTCAGGCCGTCTTTGCAAAGTGGAATGTGTAGTGGAGTTGTGAAAAGGATTAAATGGGATAAAGATATGAATAAAACGCTTACATGGCACAAGTCCTGGGGAATAAGGGATTAAATGACAATTTTGTAGTTATTATCCAAGCTTGAGTCTGTGTGATCGTCCTAAGGATTGTGAGGATTTATATCCTTGTTGGACCCCTGTTTGTTCTTTTACTTTTTCTGTCTTATCCTTAAATATCTACTCCTTTCTCCTTACTAAATACCTTCACATGTAGATTTCTGCTGGGAGGAAGAGATATGGAAGATGAAGATAACTTGGCTATGTCTCCACCCTCTTCAGGTTACTTATCTGACAGCCTTGGGAATACAAATGCAGTCTGCCTGGGAGACAGATAGTAAACAGATTTTACAGCTAGTACTAGGGAGTGCAAGGGGTGTGACTACCAAATCTGACGTAGAGAAGTATTTAAACTAGGTTAGGGAGGATGAATATGTTTTACAGGTAGGACAGATATGTACAAAGATTCAAAAGTGTAATATGAGTGGCAGAAGAGAGCCTGAATTGGTAGGGTGGTACTAGCTTGTGAAGATGTTGAATACACTTTGGAAAAATCTCTGCACCTGTCTAGAGAGTGGACTGGACTGGACTTGAGCAGTGTTGGATATAGAAAAACCAGTGAGAGACTGATAATGGGGCCAGGAGAAAGCAGAAATTACAAAACAAACTAAACTACTAACAGTGGGAATGGAAGAAAGATTGAGATAGACTTGGTAGAACAGATAGGACTTTGGATTGGAAGAGATAAGCATAAAAAGTACAGGATAATGTGGTTTTTCTAGTACGGAAAACCAAATAGGTCCTAATGCCAACCACTGCATTAGGGAATGAGCGAATAGTGAAATACAAAATAATTGGGAGAGAGGGTATGTGGTAAAAGATAGACTTTCCAGCAGTAAGTTCTGTAGAAATTCAGAATAGGGGGCATTGACCCCTGCTATAGTCTCTGTGGAGGAGGAGAGAGAGCAATTTAGAGATCCTAGAAAGCACAGAGCCTATTCTGCCATAGTTCTACCCCAGTGAGGCTGGAGATGATACATAAAGAATAGATCACTTCATTTTCCTATTTTCAGAATTCTCTACCCAGGATGACTTCAGTCACCACAGAGAATACGGAAGGTAAGCATTACAGTGAAATTCAGTACCTTTTGTCTTAAGTTCAGTCTTCTGAGGTGCAACTAAATCCTTTCTTGGCTTCTGGTGGATTTGAAATGACAAACTCATGTATTTACAAAAATGCTTTCTTGGTGTTTCCATACAGTTTTTTCTTTCTTCCTTCCTTTTCTCTTTTCCTTTCTTTTGATGGGATCTTGCTTGCTCTGTTGCACAGGCTGGCCTCAGACTCCTGGGTTCAATCCATCCTTCTGCCTCAGGCTCCCAAGAAGCTAAGACTACAGGTGCACGCCACTGCGTGGGGACATACTTTCTCCACTTTTTTTGGTAGTACTATGGATTGAACCCAGGGCCTCATGAATGCTAGGCAAGTGCTCTATTACTGAGCTACATTCCCTGGCCTTTTTCTGCCTTTTTGCTTAGATACTTAGTTGTGGCAGGTTTGATTTTGTATTTTGACTTTTTTTATAACAAATGCCAGAAGAAGAACCAATGACTTTGAAGACTCATGATCATCAGTTGCAATCAAGTCTTCACCCTATAGAAGTGTTTACTAAATCATCTGCCTCCCTAGAGATGACTCAAGGCATTTCAAAGGAAAGAATTCATCTTGCCTGTAGCCCCGAAAGAGGGAGACATTGTGATGTCAGCCACCAGGAAGGACTTCAATCCAGGTCCCTTCATTTTTCCCCTCAAGAATATTCTGTCCGTCATCAAGACAGGAGGCAGTCCTGGCGGCGAGCAAGTATGAAAGAAATAAACCGACGGAGGTCACTGCCACCTTTTCACCAGGGCATGACAGGTGGGGTGCTATGTACATAAGACAGGTTTCAGCTTAGATATAAGAGGCAGTGAGGAATGATGGAAAGTATAGCAGAATAGATGTGACTTTGCTGTTTTTTTAGCTATGTGGCTTTAAGCAGATCTCTTCACCTCTTGGAACCTCAGTTTCTTCACCTGTAAAATGGAGATAGTATTACCAACCATGTGGAGATGTTCTGTGTGTATAATAAGTTCTGATATCACACATCTACTAAGTGTTCAGTAGTATTTCTGTTACATCATATTGGCTGCTATGAAAAGAAATTCTGATGGCTAATTGTTCAACACTCAACCCTGGCTAGGATAGTAGGGATGAAAGAGTCCTTCCTGTAGCTTTCTGCTAATACCCTAATGTGGAACAGAAAGTGGATGGGATGATAGCTGATTTTAGCCTTTGCGTGTGTGTGTGTGTGTGTGTGTGTGTGTGTGTGTGTGAGAGAGAGAGAGAGAGAGAGAGAGAGATACTAGGAAGAAAACCTTTATAACTGGCAATAACTCAGAGAAGTTGCACATAAAAAAATCTAGTGTGGAGTTATGGGTGTAGCTCAGTGGTGGAGTGTGTGTTTAGTGTGTGAGGCTCTGGGTTTAATCTCCAATACCAAAACAACATCTTAAAAAAACCTAGATTTTTCTGTTCGGTTTTTTTGTAGTACTGGGAATTGTTTGTTTGTTTTTTGGTACCGGGGATTGAACTCAGGACCTTGTGCTTTTGAGGCAGGCAGCGGAACTACTGAGTTAAATCCCCGGCCCAGTACTGGGAATTGAACCAAGGGCCTTTACAATGAGCATCATCTGTGAGCCTCTCACTGAGTCACTAAGTTACCCAGGCTGGGCTCGAACTTGTGATTCTCCTGCCTCAGCTTCCTAGAGTGCTAGGATTATAGGTATGTGCCATCACACCTGGCCGAAAGTGCAATTTCTAGGGATATATTTAAATGTGATTTGGTTTTGGTTTTCTTTTTGTTCTTTTTGGTACCGGGGATTGAACTTGGGACCTTTGTGCTTTCGCTTTCGAGGCAGGCACCGGAACCCCTGAGCTGAATCCCCAACTCTGTCTTTTTTGGTACCGAGGATCGAACTCGGGACCTTGTGCTTGCAAGGCAGGCGCTGGAACCACTGAGCTAAATCCCCGGCCCTGGTTTTTTTTTTTTTTTTTTTTGAGATAGGGTCTTGCTATGTAGTTCAGGCTGGCCTTGAACTCACTATGTAGCCCAGGCTGGCCTTGAACTCATGGCAGTCCTCCTGCTTCAGCCTCCTGAATGCTGGGATTACACGCATATGCCACTATGCCTGGCCTTTGATTTGTATGATTTTTGTATGGATTTACAATCATAACTATACTTCAGTATCAAGGCACAAGATATAATGTGGAAAGTCTAGTGTGATCCTCAGCAGATTACTTAACGAAATAATCAGATGTGAGGATTAAACAAGTTGATATAATACAATATATGTGTACTTAGCACATAGTAAGTCCTCAGATGTTAAGTTATTGTGACTACTTTTAATGTATTACTATACTTTCAGGTGGTCTGATGTGTACAAGGTTATCTGGTTAAACCAGCCACTTAGCATATCAGAAAATTGCTGCCACAGTGCCCATGCACTTAACTCCATGGATCTGCGAAGAAATCAGTAGTAATTCCCCAAGATTAGCCATACCTTCATCTCTATCACCAGAGCATTTTTATAACAGAAATCACCAGTGTAATCAGATGGATTATTTTTGCCAAGTGTGATGGTGCATGCCTATAATCCCAGCAAATTGGGAGGCTGAGGCAAGAGGATCACTGTTTGAGGCCAGCCTGGGCTGCATAGCTAGTTCAAGACCAACCTTGAACTCTTACACAGCAAGACCCTGTCCTCAACAGCAAAAAAAAAGGATTGGTTTTTTTTCCTCATTATTCCTGGCCACCTGCTAAATTTTCTTAGTTATAGGCAGGCAGAATCCTATTTTTCTTGACTAACAGCAAAAAGTATTAATCACGAGAGAAGATGAGAACTTTAGAAACACAGCTAGTAGAAGCTGGAGATCAAAAAGAGAGATAGCTCTAATACTAAAAGCAAATCTCCTTTGCTTTATAATAATTGTTTTTAAATGGACATAATTAAAAAACAGTATCTAACATCATGTAGTTGTTTTGAGGATTTAGTGGCATAATTATATAAAATGCTCACCCAGTTCAGCCTTGTAGCTCACTGAATGATAGAGTAAGTGATCTGTTACCCAGCCTTTGCTCCTCAGTGTCACTTGTCATCAGATGAAATTGATACACTTGCCTTGAACTTTAGTGTAGTGTGTATAGAATTGAAGAAAATGCCTTTTATAGAACAGCTGTTCAACAGGTATTACCTGTATTAACTAGGTCACTCTACAGAGGCAAAAACACTGGGAAAAACATTGATCTTGATGGCAGGCCTGGATTTGAATCATGACTTCAGTCTCTGGCTTAAACAAGTCATTTCCTCTTTGCTTGTTTCCCCATTTGTAAAATGGAACTTAATAAAATTTATTTTAAAAAACTTAAGATAATGTTTTAAAAGTATATTGCCAAAAAAAAAAAAAAAAAAAAGTACATTGCAGTACCTCATAAAAATGCCCAAACAGAGGCCAGGGATTTAGCTCAGTGGTTTCTCGGCCTGCTGCACAAGTGCAAGGACTTGAGTTCAATCCCCGGTACCAAAAAAAAAAGTGCCCAAAGGTCATTAGCTCCTTTCTTTAGTACTGAGGATCAAACTTGGGACATTGTGCTTGCTAGGCAGGCACTGGAACAACTGAGCCAAATCCCCGGCCCACTTTATCTCCTTTCTTTAGTGAACAAGAATCATAAAAACAGTTGAATCATTTTTTATCTACCTTCTTTAACAAAACAAGATTTTCATGTACAAAAAAGATTCTTGACTTTTTTTTGTTTTTTGGTACTGAGGATCAAACTCAGGACCTTGCTCTTTCAAGGCAGGTGGTGGCACCACTGAGCTAAATTCCCCGCCCCAAAAGATTCTTATAGCATTACATTTAGATGTGCAAATAAGTAAGTGTTTCTTGGTGGTCCTGGAAAAATGAGAATACGCCCTTTAATTAGAAAAAGCTGTGTCTTGCCTTAAGTTGGATTGCATCGACAGAGGAAAATTTTCAGATTTGTTACTTTGCTATGTAAGTAAGCAGTTCCTTAAATGTGGCGATGTCTTATATTAGAGCTCAGCAGGTCCATCAGTGTCGACCTAGCAGAAAGCAAGCGGCTTGGAGCTCTCCTGCTTTCCAGTTTCCAGGTGAGATTCTCAAGATTGGAAAATGCTTTCTTTTTTTTTTTTTTTGGTACCAGGGATCAAAATCAGGTGTTTCTGCTTTCGAGGCAGGTGGTGGAACCACTGAGCTAAATCCCCAGCCCTGGCTTCATTTTTTTAATTTGATGTTTTTATTGTTAATGTGGCAAAATTTAAAGAGGTATTAGTACTATGAGATGAACTCATTTAAAAAATGTTTCTTTCAGGGTTGAGATTAATTTAAAGCTAGATTTAATTCGGGTAGTGAGTTCTCTTTGGACTAGTCCCATTGCTGCTGCTGTTGCTGAGCAGCTAACATTTCCCCAGTATATTATCTTTTGCCCATTCATAGCAAGTTAGGGGAACTTGAAGTGAGTAAAAGTAAAAATCTCAGTTATTAATAGATATTTGAGTTCTGATTACAGGCTAAACCAATATATGATTCATATTATACAGTTTCTTAAAGTTATATTTCTTATTGTATAGTTCATTGGTGCTTATGGGAGTTCAGATAAGCAAGTAATTTGTGTAAATTAAATGGCCATATATTTTCCTCAGTTAAAAATCAAAATATATAGTCTGGGCAACAATGAGTGTTTTTTCCTGAACTAGTTATTTGTTTATATGAAAAGTTTTAGGTGATGCTAGGCATGGTGGTACATGCCTGTAATCCCAGCCCTTGGGAAGCTCAATACATCTTGAGATTGAGGCCCACCTTGACTACCTAGCAAGTTCAAGCCCAGTGTGAACAACATAATGAGACCCTATCCCCAAAAGAAACAAAGAACATCATAGGTAGAAAAAATTAAATCATGTTTAGTTTCACTACTTATTCGTGAGTTTGTTTATACAGTACTGAGGTTTGAACCCAGGGCCTTTGCACTGAGCAATATCCGTAGCCCTTTTATTATTTATTTTCAAACAAGGTCTCACTAAATTGTCTAGGCTAGCTTGAAGTTAGAATCCTTCTGTCTCCACCTCTCAGTGCTAGGATTATGGGCACATGCCACCATGCCCAGTTTAATTTTACATCTATTAAACATAAAATTGCATGAATTTAGGACTGTCCTGGAAAATTTTGTTGTTGTACTAAAAATGTTTTTTTAAATTTAGTTCTCAGTTCAGAAACTTGAACCTTTCCTAAAGGACGCTCAGGACTTCAGTCTTGAAAGTTTCAAAGCAAAAGGTAAGTTGCTAAGAATAGATGAGCAAGCTTTGGCTCTGGTTATACCCTCTTTTAGGTTCATCAAAGCCTCATTTGCAGGATGAACATTTACAGGAGGTGCTGCCTCATAAAACTAGCTCCCCCCTTTTTTAAGGTGTATTTAAAAATAGAAGAACTGGGCATAGTGGCACATGTCTATAATCACAGTACTTGAGAGGCTGATATTACATATATATAATATATATGTTTATGAAGCTCAAAGTATGAAAGTGAAAAGTAATCCTTAGTCTCAGCAGAGGCAACTGTATAGGACCAATCCCCAGAGACATCTATAGGCACCAGTTTCTTGTGTATCATTGCAGAGATATTTATTGCTTTTTGCAATATGAGCACATACTCCATGAACTGTTTTATACTTTCACTTCACCTGCCTTTGGTGCTGGAGATCAAATCCAGGGTCTCAAGCATGCCAGGCAATTGTTCCACCACTGAGGTACACCCTTGGTCCAACTTTGGCTCTTTTTTGGACCTAATATATTTTCCACATTGTTCCATATCACATATACAGCGCTATCTTGACATTTTGGTAGCTGTATTATATTCCATTATATAAATGAACTGTGGGGTTTTTTTGGGGGTTTTTTTGGTACCGGGGATCGAACTTGGGTCCTTGCGCTTGCGAGGCAGGCGGCAGAACCACTGAGCTAAATCCCCGGCCCTATGAACCATGTTTAATATAATTCTTTACTGATGGACTTACAGTTTTGTTTTGTTTTGTTTTGTGGTTTGCTATTCTAATGAATAGTGTAGTGAATACTTTTTTTTTTTTTTTTTGGAGACAGGGTCTCCCTGTGTAGTTCAGGCCATCCTCAAACTCATGGCAGTCCTCCTGCCTCAGTCTCCTGAGTGCTGGGATTACAAGCCTGAGTCACCATGCCCAGCTTAATACTTTTTTTACAAACCTTTTTGGTATATGTGCAAGTAAAAGTAGAATTAACTAGCTCAGACCAAATGATAGAAATTGGTAGGTTACCTTCCTAAGACAGTTTATTCTCTCACCAGCAGTATATGCAACTATTTTCTCATACTGTCAGCAGCACATTTCATTGAAGAGTAGTGGCATTAGATCTTCTCTAAATTTCTTGTAGAATTCATGAGTAAATGCATCAGGATCTGGGCTTTTCTTTGTTAGTTTTTTAATTACTTCAATTTCATTGACATATTGGATTCTTGAGAATTTTTTTATATTCTCGATTCATCTTTGATAATTCATATATATCTAGGAATCTGTCCATTTCTTCTGTGTTTTCCATCAATCAAGTACAGGTTCTCAGAGTAAATATAGATTATCTTCTAGATTTCTGCAGGAGCTGTTTTGATTTTGCCTTTTTCATCCCTAATTGCATAGATTTGAGTCTTTTTTTTTTTTTTTTTTTTTTCCCTTCTCCGGTACCAGGGATCAAACTCAGGACCTTGTGCTTGGGAGGCAGGCACGGCACCACTGAGCTAAATCCCCAGCCCTAATCTTTCCCTTTTTTTTGGTACCAGGGATCGAACTTGGGTCCTTGCACTTGCAGGGCAGGTGGCAGAACCACTGAGCTAAATCTCCGGCCCAAGTCTTTACTTTTTTTGATAAAATTGACTAAAAGTTTGTCTATTTCATTTAATCTTTCAAAGAACCAACTCTTCGAGTCATTGCTTCTTTTTATTGTTTTCTTGGTCTCAGTAGCATTAATTTCTGCTCTGATCTTTGTAATTTCCTCCCTGTTACATGTTTTGGGTTTAACTTGCTCTCCTTTTTCTAGGAGCTTGAGGTTCAGAATTAGGTTTTTTTTTTTGTTTTTTTTTTTCCTCAGTACCAGGAATCAAACTCAGAACCCCTCACTTGCCAGGTGCCACTGAGCTACGTCCCCAGCCCTTTTTTTTTTTGGTACCGGGGGTCAAATTCAGGACCTCGTGCTTGTGAGGCAGGTGCAGCAAGTGTTAGGTTATTTATTTGAGCTTGATCTGTGTTTCTGATGGGAGAGTTCACCACTATAAATTTCCTTTGTAGGACTGCTTTCATTGCATCCCATAAGTTCTGGTATGTCGTATAGGCATTATCATTTAATTGTAGAAACTGTCTAATTTCTTCTTTAATTTCATCTATGACCCATTGGTTGTTCAGGAGGGTATTATTTAATTTCCATGTGTTTATGGAGTTTTTATGGTTTATTTTGCAATTGATTTTCAATTTCATTGCACTATGATCTGATAATATGCATGGGCTAATTTTAATCCTTTTGCATTTACTTAAGCACATTTATAGGCTAGTTAGTACATGGTCTATTTTGGAGAAAGTACCATGTGCAGCTGAGAAGAATGTGTATTCTGTTGTAGGGTGAATACTCTGTAGAGATCTACTAAGTCCATTCGTTCAAGGTTTGGTTCAGCCCTGATATTTCTTTGGTTTTTTGTGTGTAGTTGATCTGTTTGTGACAGTGGGGTATTGAGGTCCCCCATTACAATTGTATTAGTGCTTATTTGATTTTTTCATATCCATTAGTGTTTGTTTTATATAGTTGGGTGCACTAATATTTGGTGCATATATATTTATGATTGTTATCTCTTCCTGGATTTTTCTCTTTAACGAGTTTGTAGTGACTTTCTTTGTCTTTTCTAATCAGTCTTGGCTTGAAATCCACTTTGTCTGCAAGTAGAATAGCTACACCTGCTTTTATCCAAGTTCCTGTCACATGGGGTATTTTTTTCCATTCTTTAACTTTCAGTCTATGAATTTCTTTTTGAGGTAAATGTGTTTCTTGTATGCAGCATATTGTTAGACCTTGTTTCTTCATCCATTCTGCCAATATGTTTCCTTTGATTGGTAAATTGAAATCATTTACATTGATGGTTATAACTAATATGTCTTGACTTATCCTTGTCATGTTATTTTTCTGTTGTTGGTTCCCTTTCTTTCCCCTCTGTTTAATTACTTGCCATGCCAGGTGGATTTATTCTGTTGGGATTCATGGAATTGTTGTCTTCATTGTCTTTTTCTAGAATATCTTTCAGAACTTTTTGGAGTGCTGGTTTGGTGGTCATGAGTTTCTTTAGGTGTTCCTTATCATGGAAGTATCTTATTTCTCTATCAATTTTGAAAGATAATTTTGTGGCGTACATCAGTCTGGGTTGGAGGTTGTTTTCTTTTGGGGCTTGAAATACTTCAAGCTCTCCTTGACTTAAGGGTTTGTGCTGACTCTCAGTAACACAGTTTCATCAAACTTAGATTTTATTTTTTTTTATTTTTTATTTTTTTGGTACTGGGGATCGAACTTGGGTCCTTGCCGCTTGCGCAGCAGGCGGCGAAACCACTGACTAAATCCCTGGCCCAAACTTTTAGATTGTCTTAGTATTTGATAGATGGTAAAAGATATTTTGTAGTTTTAATATGTTATTTTTTTCTTTTGGAGAAGATAGGAATATTTCATGTTTTCATACTTTTTCTTCCTTTCTGCCTGCCTGCCTGCCTTCCTTCCATACTTCCTTCCTTCCTTCCTTCCTTCCTCCCTTCGGTACTAGGAATTGAACTCAGGGCCTTCACACTGAGCTACATCCCCAAGTCTTGCTAAGTCACTAAGTTGCTCCAGCTTGGTTCAGGCTTGTGAACCTCCTGCCTCAGCCTCCAAGAGTTCTGAGATTCCAAGCATGCACCACCACTCCCACCTTTCATACTTTTTAGAGCCATTTGTTCTTTCTTTTCTGTGGGTTGTCTGGCTGTATCCTTTGTTCTTTTTTTTTTTTTTTTTAAACTAGGATATTTGCTCTTTTGTATTGCTTTATAGGAACTTCTTATGAAATTAGCTATTTGTCTCTGATGTTAGAAGTATTTGAACTCTCTAGGAAGCAGCTAGTCTCCTGATAGCATAATTGCACAATCATCCAGGGTCAGATACACTGAGAATTACTCACTTAAAAGGCCCAGAAAATACATGAACTTGGGCTTACTTGTCAGCTGAAATTGATGAGCTCAGAATTGCACCATAATTAGAGTAGATACACTAGAGTTATCTCGATAAGTAACATTTCCCCTTTGCATTTTTTTTTTTTTTTTTGGTACCAGGGATCGAACTCCAGTCCTTGCACTTGCAAGCAGGTAGCGAAACCACTGAGCTAAATCCCTGGCCCCCGCTTTGCATTTTTTTAAACCTCAGTTAATAGTGATTTCTTCCAAGTCTTATCAGAGGCCTGTTTTTAGTGTATACCCATAATTTTTCCTTTTTTTTTTTTCTGTTTAAATTTTCATGCTTTATTCCTTGTATCAGATTAAGAAATTAAAAATTTCCCAATACTGATTTATAGTAATGTTTTTATAAGTGGCAACAAAAAGCTCAGTTCCATAAAACATTCAATGATCTCTTTGTATGTAATTTTAACCCTTATTTTAAGCTGAAGACAATAGTAATTTAATGCAATAAGCTAAGTACACACAAAACCTGCATATCCTGAACTACACAAAGGGGTTTCTATGGCCACATATGGTTTCAATCAAGTATACATTTCCACAATGAGCAAATACTTACAAATATGTTAATATAACACTGTTCCAAATGCTTATTTTGCCATTAGCCTTTTAATCATCACCATTCCTACTACTGAAAGCATTTAGATTTAGAATCTTTGATCTGGGAAAATGAATTCTCGTAAAACTTAACAAATACCTGTAGTATGTTATAAGGCAAAAGGCTTTTAAATCAACAAAAGCTTTAACACAGAAACACTGACACGAAACTTATTTTGTCAAAACCAAAAAAAAATTATCTTTAAAAAAGATAGTAAACAAATTGTCTTTTAAGACAAACATTCTTATAAAAACTTGCAGTTTCCTATATCATCTCCTCAGTTTCTTTTCTTTTTTTTTGTTTGATACCAAGTATCAAACTTGGGTCCTTGTGCTTGCAAAGCAGGCGCCAAAACTATTGAGCTAAATCCCCGGCCCTCCTATATCATCTCCTTACACACAAAATGACGACTGTTGTCTAAAAACTTCAGAATACATGAAGTACATGCCTTAGCTGTCAGTCAAAAAGGCCTTTGAGATTTTACATATTAAACAGCTAGCATACAGCTTATAATGGCATGAATATATCTAATATATAATTCAAGTTTATTCTTCAGACAGTCAAAAGTCAGAAGGGACTGCATGGTTTGCAAAGTACTTTAAGTTACATGTCGTTAAAATCTAGTAAGTAATTCAAGTATGGTCATATAAAGGCAGGCAATTAAAGGCTCAAATCAAATGCTCTAAAAACAAAGACATGAAAATAAAGGCTGAAAACTGTTTCTTCCTCTCATGTTCATGCCTAAACATCAGGACATTACTGCAGAAAATAAACTTGTATATGGTTTCCATAGAAGATAATGACGTTTCAGAAAGTACACAAGGTGTCAAGACCCGTAGTTTGCTTCATCAAATGCTTTTCTAGCTCGTTTGAATTCTTCATTCATAGTAAGCAAGCCTTTAACCCTAGCAAACTTCCTCGGGTCCTTTCGAATCAAGAAGACAATATCTTCAACTTGTACTCAACCTTGTCTTCCAATGGACATTGCCTTGTGAGTCATTTCAGTGATGAACTTTATGACAAGGTCTTCAAGAATATCCACTGACCCAGTATAAGGATTCTGGTCATCTCCAAACCCATACATCATACATCTTAATTCTTTTTTTTTGGTATCAGAGATCGAACTCGGTTCCTTGCACTTGTGCAACAGGTGGCGAAACCCAGCCCATACATTGTAATTCTTTAGAAAAAAGTCTCTTTCTTTTACCCTGTCTACCTTCAGCACCTCCTCCAATTTCTTCATTTTCCTCCTCAAGTGTAGGATCCTCTTCCTCATCTGCCATTCCACCAGTCAGCAAAAGCCTTCCTTTTTTTTTTGGTGGTACTGGGGATTGAACTCAGGGCCTTGCACTTGTGAGGCAGGCATGCTGCCACTGAGCTAAATCCCTGGGCCAACTATATACCCATAATTTTTATTTGCTATCACTATTTCTCATTACACTCTTGCCTATTCCCTGACTTCTAAATGTCTTCCCTTCTAGTACCTCCTGTTCACATCTCTTGAAAAAAGAAAAAAAAGAATTATCAGTGCAGATATACCTCTTTAAGTAGTACTTTTTTACTAGTCAAGTATCAAAACACTTATAAATGGTATAAAGAACGGTTGTTATCCATTTTATCTACATGAGGGAGAAAGATAAAATCTTTCTGGGGTTGGGGAGGTAGCTCAGAGGCAAAGTGCTCTACTGGCATGCACAAGGCTCTGGGTTCAATCTCCAGGACCAGAAGAAAAGTCTGCACACTTAACATGTTCCCACTGTCATGAACTGTCGATGGTACATGCATGACTGCCCCATCAGGTGGATTGTACCACTCTGATACAGCAGTGGTTCAGAGCCTCTGGTAGTGAGGCATACGAATTATGACCCAATGTTGAATGTGTTAAAACATCTTTTTGGTTGAATGAGAGGGCCAGAATGTAACAGGAGACCCTAAACCTGAGAATATCTTAAGTACCTATGTAAGTAGCTCATTGTGAAAATTTGTATCTTCCTTATTTTATAACATAAAATTTATTCTCTCTAGCGTCTTTTCTTTCTCAAGAGCTGGAGCATTTTATAGGCAGCCTGGAAAAAGATGGAATTCTACAAAAATGTTTTGAAGATTCAAAAGAGTAAGAGCAATTTTCCTCTTGTAAATTATAGGTGAATTGAGACTTTTCATTATAATTAGTTGTTCACTTGTTCAACAAATATTTTCCTAGAATTTTCTCATGTACCAGGCTCTTTTAGATGTTGGGAATATAGTGATAAATAAGTGAAACAATGTTGCTCTTGTCATACACTATAATAGAGGAGACAATCAAATTCAGAGTCAATTCGATTTCAGATAATTACAATCTGGGAAGTCGACAAATAATAGTGATTTGAGGGTATAGACATCTTTAGCAAGAATGATAAAAAAAAAAATGTTCAGAATTCTCTCATGATTTGTCCTTCGGACTCAGACCTGTAAGACCTGAATGGTGAGAAGGAACCAGCCATGGAAAGGTGAGGGGGCGCGAAGGATTTAGCTCAGTGGTTCTGGCGCCTGCCTCCAAAGCGCAAGGTCCCAAGGTCGATCCCCAGTACCAAAAAAAAAACCAACCAACCAAACAAAAAAACCCCCAAAAAACAGCCTTCTCTTTAGGGCCAGGGATTTAGCTCAGTGGTTCTGCTGCCTGGCCAGCAAGCACAAGGACCAGAGTTCGATCCCCGGTAGCAAAAAAAAAAGAAAGAAAGAAAGAAAGGTGAGGGGAAAAACATAATTGAGATCTTTGGTAACCATGCATGTTTTTGGCTCTTGGAAAGCAAGAATATTAGCAGAAACTTTAAATCTCACTCCTAAGTTGGTATGTCTTCAGAGATGAGGCTATCCCTAGCTCCCTAGTTTCACTGTGTAACAAAGCATGTACTTGGGTTTACATTATTAATTTTAAGTTTGGAATTCATGGTTTACCTTCCCATAGTTCATTAGGATTGACATTTCTAATCAGAAAGTGAAACATTTTAGATTAATTAACATAGCATCTCTTTTTTGGGGGGCGGGTACCAGGGATCAAACTCAGGACCTTGGGCTTGTGAGGCAGGGGCAGTGCCACTGAGCTAAATCCCCACCCCAGCATCTCTTAATGTAGTGTATTTAAGGGCAGGCTGCTGCATCTCAGATGCACAGATAGTGGAGGCTGTGTCACAGGACTTGGCAAAAAAACAGGAATAGTGGCACCAACTGATTTGTCTTTGCCAGATACAGTTTTGACATTTTTAGTACTTGATTTTTTTTTTTTTTTGTACTGGGGATCAAACTCAGGTCTTTTCGCTTGCAAGGCAGGCGGTGGAACCACTGAGCTAAATCCCTAGCCCTTTTTTTGGTTTTTTGAAACAGGGTCTTGCCATGTAGCCCAGGCTGGCCTCTGAACTTGTGGCAATTCTCCTGCCTTTCAGCCTCTCAAGTGCTAGGATTACAGGTGTGTGCCACCACACCTGGCAGTACTTGATTCTTTTCCATTACAATTAATCACCCAACTGAGGTGAGCCATTAGATAACAGCAGTAATCAAAGTAAGTGAATTGGACAGGATCAGACCATGGCCTTAATTGCCAGATTAAGAAGTTTTGGCTTTTTGTGAGGTGAGGTGGGGCTCAAGATTGATCCTAGGGTCACTACCACTGGACTACTTCCCTGCCCCCTCTTTTTGAGATAAGAGCTCACTAAGTTGCTCAGGCAGGGCTTGAACTTGCAATCCTCCTATCTTTGCCTTCTGAAATGTTGGGTTTACAGGTGTGACCTACCATCCCCAGCTAAATTTTGTCTTTTCTTCTTTTTGCTGGAGATTGAACCTAGAGTCTTTACAATGAGCTACATCCCCAGCCCTTTTTATTTTTTATTTTGAGATGGGGTCTTACTAAGTTGCTAAATTGCCCAGGCTGGGCTCAAAACTTGTGATCCTCCTGACTTTTTTTTTTTTTTGGTACCGGGGATCAAACTCAGGTCCTTGCATTTGTGCAGCAGGAGGCGAAACTACTGAGCTAAATCCCCAGCCCCCTCCTGACTCTTATACCAGAGTGCTGTGATTACAGGTATATAGGTATATGCCACCAATGCCTGGCCATACACAGAGGTTTTAAGCAAGGAAAAAAATTAAACATTAATTTGGCCACAGTATGAATTGGAATTGATGAGAGAAATAGAATAAAAGCCACTTACAGCTGGATGTGGGGTACATGGCTATAATCCCTACACTTGGTAGGTTGAGGCAGGAGGATCTCTGCAAGTTCAAGGCCAGCCTGGACTACATAGTAAGTTGAAGGCCAGCCTGAACTACATAGTAAGACCCTTTCTCCAAAACAAAAACCAATAAAAATAAAAAATAAAAATGAGAACCACTTAGAAAACTACCATCTAGTGAAAAAGTAAGATAGAGTCCAAGAATAAATATTTATTGAAAGAAAAAAAGTATGTTTTATTGCCTGTAAAAAATTGTGTGTGTGTGTGCTAGGGATCAAACTCTGCACCTTGCGCTTGCAAGGCAGGCAGTGGAACCACTGGGCTAAATCCCCGGCCTGCCTATAAAATTATGTAGGACATTATATTAAAAGCAAATGTTTCTTGAAAGATTCATATTATTCTCATAATCCTATTCATATTCCAGAAAAGCATTGGATTTGAATCTGGAAGCATCAGTGGCTGAGATGAAGGAATATATAACAAAGTAAGTGAAAATGAGAGAACCTTTGGAAAATTTAAATTCACTCTCCATCTGGGGAAAATAAAACCTAGGAAAAATTAATATTAAAAATGGTGTTCAGTGCCAGTGAATCAACACTGGAAGTTAGAAGGCTGCGTATTGAGATGATTATCGGCTCTGATGGCTAATTTCATAGGATGGAGTTCAGGGAATAACAATGTTAATTTGATTTTAAGAAACTGTGTTTTATTTGATTAAATTAATGGCCTCTGGATCAGTCAAGATTTGTAATCCTTTAATGATCTCTTTATTCACATTTTATAACCAGATTATGTGCCTAATATACTTATTGTTGCCCTGAGTAGTTCAGAATGAATGATGTGATCAAAAGTTAGCTGAATCTGGGCGTAGTGGTCCAAGCCTGTAATCCCAGCACTTGGGAGTCTGAGGCAGGAGGATTGCTGTGAGTTCAAGGCCAGCCTGGACTACATGGCAAGACCCTGTCCCTCCCACCCCCCCCCAAAAAAAAGTTAACTGAATTTTTCCTTGAATTCTGTAGGTTTTCTTTAGAACGTCAGACTTGGGATCAGCTCTTGCTGTGGTACCAGAAGGAGGCACTACCAGAAGAGACGTCCAGGTTAGATCTGTGAACTGGGAATAAAAGCTATCTTTTTAACCTTGTGGAATTGATTTGAGTTTATGTCAGTTCTCGTTTATATTAGTACTCTGACCATAAATGGAGAATAAGTGAGAAGTAAGGGAGAGTTGAGATGACTGTTTTCAGAGTTAGAACAGAATTGCCTCTGTTCTGTGTCTTTGGCTGCTGTTTCACATCCTCAGGGATACAGGTACATTTCTGCCTTGCACTTGGCCATTTGGGGCTGGACCAAGAACAGTAGGTACGAGACTTACGGAGCACATGACCTTTACTTTTGTTTTGTTTTTTTGAGACAGGATCTCGCTGTGTGATTCAGGCTGGCCTTGAACTCCTGGCAATCCAAGTGCTGGGATTACAGGTGTGTGCCACCATGCCCAGCAGCACTTGGCTTTTGAGCTGCAGGAATGAAAAAGACCGCTGGCCATGGCCTTCATGGAGTTACAGATACAGAGAAGAGAGAGTGGTGGGGGAAAGTAAAAGTAAAGGAGGATTTTTTTTTTTTTCTCTTTCCCCCCATACTAGGGAGTGAACCTAGGGCCTCATACATACAAGGCAGGGAGGCAGGTGCTTTACCACTAAGCTATATCCCCAGTCCCTTTTATTTTGTTAGTCTCACTAAGTTGCCTAGGCTGGCCTCCAACTTAAAATCCTCCTGCCTTAGCCTCCCTAGTACCTGGGATTGCAGTTGTGTACTACTATAATCAGCTAAGAGAAGATATTTGTCTTGATCTTGGAAGCAGAAGAAAGTGGGAAAAGTGCTGGATTTTAGTTTAGTGAGCATCTGAGCTTTTTTTTTTGTACCAGGGATCGAACTCGGGTCCTTGCGCTTGCGCAGCAGGTGGCAAAACCATTGAGCTAAATCCCTGGCCCTGAGCTAATAATTTTAAGCTTTTTTTTTCCCCCAATAGAACCTTAGCTAGAAACCCAGCTACAAAATGTTAGCCAAAAGCTTAATTGCAAAAGTGACCTCTCATTAGAGGGGGACTTTAAGTAACATAATCTGAAAACTCCCTTCCAGGGAGTGATGGGTATCATTTACTCACTTCATATCATATTTATGGAGATTTATAATGTATAAGATGGCAGTTTCAAGCTAGGGATAATAGCTCACTCCAGTAATCCCAGCTACTCAGGAGGCTGTCACAAGAATTATAAGTTTGACACCAATCTGTGCAACTTCAAAAGACTGTGTCTCAAAATTTTAAAAGCCTGAGGATGTAGCTCAGTATAGAGTGCTTGTCTACTATGTACAAAGGCCTGAGTTCAGTCCCTAGTTCTTTACATATACACAAATTGATGGCAGCTTGAGAATAAAAACTTTGTGGCCAAGCTTGTAGATTAAGAAAAACTCTGAAGCCGACTGTTCAGATCCTACTTCTGAGTTTTGTGACCTTGGGCAAATCACTTAATCTCTTGGAGTGTAAGGCTCCTTATTTGAAAATAGGGGTGATGGCACTACCTAGTTCATTGGGTCATTGTGAGTATTAATTGACGTTAAATGGACAGTGGGCAGCCGCAACTTTTGGCACCTAAGAAGCTCAATAAATTAGTTACGAAAAGGTTGTTGTCATTTTTCATGAACTCTCCATATCATTTTTTTTTTTTTTTGCAGTACCAAAGATTGAACTAAGGACCTTGTCCCTTAGAGGCAGGTGTGGCACCACTGAGCTAAATCCCCAGCCCCCCATATCAATTATTTTAGGTAATTAAAGTAGTCAGCATTTACTTTGGTAAATGATCATAGACAGTGACTTGGATGGCAAGCTTTGGCTTCACTGTATCCCAAGTAAAGTCCTTTTTGTATGTGGACCATTGCTGTTAAGTAGAGTTAACTGAGTTAAAAGTTTCTAGCATTTCCCAGAGTCTAGTGGTATGAAAACATTAATATTAGATGAGCACAGTGTCACATGCCTGTAATCCCAGCATTCTGGGAGGATAAGGAAGGAGGATTGCAAGGTTGAACCCAGCCTGGGCAATTTAGCAAGACCATGGTTCAAAATATTAAAATGGACTAGGGATGTGGTTCAGTGGGAAGGCCCTAGGTTCCAACCCTGGTACCACAAAAAATAATAATACTATTCAGCCATTATTTCAGATCCTCTTGTTAAGAGAGCCTATACCAGAAACTGGGGGTGAAGCTTAATAGTGGAACACTTACCTAGCATGTGCAAAGCCCTAAGTTTAATCCCCAGCACACCAAAGGGGCTGAGAGGGTGGCTATATTAGAGTAGGGTAGAAGGATATTGATTCAGTTTTATAGGTTTTTTCCAGAGGTAATCTTTGATATCTTTTCAATAAAATGATTATAAAATTCTTTGAAAGCTCTTTTTTGTTTGGTTTTTAGAGGATCAGTGGAAACCAAAATTACTGAAGTCAAAATGGAACCGACATCATATCTTAGATCTTCTCAGAATGAAGTTCTTTACACAAAGCCTGACTACCAGAAAATATTACAGAACCAGAACAAAGTCTTTGATTGTATGGAGTTGGTGGTAAGTTGGCTTAACTTGATTTGCTTAAACTATCCAGGTTTGCTACCTTTTCATTTGTGTTAGTTTTCCATCTCTGATAAAATACCTGAAATAACCAACTTATAAGAAGAAAATGTTGTGGGGTTTTTTTGTTTTGTTTTGGGTTTTTTGCAGAACTGGGGATCGAACTCAGGACCTTGTGCTTGCCAGGCAGGCGCTGGCACCACTGAGTTAAACCTCTGGCCCAAGAAGAAAACATTTATATTGGGTCGCAGTTTTAGAGGTTTGCCTTGGACCTCTTTCTTTGGCCCTGTGTGTGAGCAATAAGTACTGTCTTTCAGCTCCCTCCCACGAGGGCTCCCTCCATGGGAGTACCCAAACAGAACTAGAGGACATGACATCCTGTTGGTAGGAGTCCTAGAGGTCAGCCTCCTGGGGCATAGAGCTGGCTGCAGAATAGTGAAGTGTGGCTCAGGAGGAGCCAATAGAATGTCTGGCATAAGCATTCCAGACTGAAAGGACAGCAGGCCCATTGTTTCACTCTGACATTGGGAAGGAGCCTGCCTGAAGGATATAGGGAACTTCAGGGAAGCTGAAACTCAAGGCTGTCTTTTTTTTTTTTGGTACGGGGGATTGAACTCAGGACCTTGCGCTTGCAAGGCAGGCGCCAGGAACCATTAAGCTAAATCCCTGGCCCCTCAAGGCTGTCTTTTGACTGCAGATAGATGAGCTGCAAGGATCAATGAAGCAGCTGCACACCTTTATGGATGAAAGTACCCAGTGCCTCCAGAAGGTGTCAGTACAGCTTGGTAAGTGTGTCTCTTGAGACCAGAGTTTGGGCTGTTTTATTTCTGATAGCCTTTGGGTAGCATATCATCCAGAGGGTAAGACCTATAGCAGATTATTTGTGTTTCTCTCCCCAAAGAGTATGTTGATGGGAAATTTCTAGACATAAATTCCAAAAGCACAGTTAGAGTGAGAATTAAAACCCCATGAACTCTGTTTTAGCAAATCCAAGACTTCAAAAATACCCTCTATAGCTGAGTGTGGTGGCACATGTCTGTAATCCCAGCACTTGGGAGGCTGAAGCAGGAGGATCACCGTGATTTCAAGGCAGCCTGGGCTACATAGTGAGTTCAGGGCCAGCGTGACCTACAAAGCGAGACCCTGTCTCAAAAAACAACAAAAAAACCCATTGCAGCAGGGCATGGCATAAACCTGTAATCCCAGCATTCAAGAGGCTAAGGCAGGAGAGGATCTACACAAATTAAAGGATGGCATGGAGTACATAGCAAGATCCTGTCTCCAAGGAAAAAAACCAAAAGTCCCCTGTTTTTAATGTCTTAAAGTTTCAAGAATCCACAAAGTAACACTGACATAACTCCTTTGTAGCCTTTCCTGACCTCCTCCCTAAATTACTTGCTACACACACCTTCATTTTCTTACTGCACTGTACTACAGCAGCTGGCTTTCCTCTCAGACTGTCATCTCCTGGAGGACAGAGATTTAATTTGTCATTATAATGCCTTTCACTACCTGGCACAGTGCCCACACATTGTTTTCAATATATTTTATGTGAATTCAATTGAAATTCATTTTTTGGCTCCTTTCCTCTGCAGAGAAAAGAAGCATGCAACAATTAGATACTTCACCTGCTCGAAAACTGCTCAGACTTCATTTACAGAACCCACCTACCACTTACTGCTCTGGATCTTACCAGTGACCTTACCCAGCTTTTCCAACACAAGATACTCAGAAGATAAAACTGGGAAGACTTCCTCAGGATGTGACGACTGCATGGCAGTCTGAGCTGGGGAGTCCTGTCCTTTGGTTTTAAAGATAACTGCCTGATTGTAGAGCACTTCATCTTTTTTGAGTGATGGAATTTATGCATACAAAAGGACACTGCAGAGACACTTTGCCCAGGAATGTACAAAATGCTTGAAATTTCCTTGTGAAATGGCCTTCAGAAGCAGCGGCCCATTCTTTTTAAATGTCCTTCATGGTCAGATATCTTATCTTGTGAAGATATTTTTCAGGTTTTGAAACAACCCAAAGTCATTTAGGACCAAGTTTAATGAAACATTTTTTAGGAGCCAACTGGGTTCTGGTCAAATAGGAATTAGACTGATTTTCTAGTGTGGCTGTGATGGTGATTTTAGAGAGAAGAATGCTGAGCATTGTTGGCATCACTGGGATATATATATCATTTCACAGAATGCCCAATTTGAAGAAAATACTACTCATGTTTGCCTTGATGTCTGCAGTGTACTTCAGCTTTTGAATTTTGAGCTGACACCCTAAATTCTGAATTCATGGCAAAAAGGGGCTAAGTACTAATTTTTATTTTTGTTTGTTTTTATTTTTATTTTTGGTGGTGCTAGGGGTTGAACCCAGCTTTGCACATGCTAGTTAAGTGCTTTGTTACTGAGCTGTTACCTCCAGGCCCCTAATTGTTCTTTTTATTGTTAATAATCTGAATTATAAAATTACATATAGTTAAGATTTTCCCTGTGTTTGTATTTTGAGTGTATAAACTTCTTTTTGCAGTGCTGAGAGTTGAACACAGGGACTTCATACATGCTAACAATGCACTGCCACTCAGCCCCTAAAAACATTTAAAGGCAAGGAGGGTTTAGAAAATAAAATTCTTTGCTGAGATAAACAGTAGTGTAAAGATAGGCCTCACTGGGCCAGGAATTTAGCTCAGTGGTTCTGTCGCCTGCCTCGCAAGTGCAAGGTCCCTATTACCAATATAACACCAACTAATTTTTAATGTTTTCTATATTCTCATCCTATTAATGGGATAAAACTTGTTTTATTTAATTTCCTGTTTGCCCTGCAAATATTTGCTGGTTGCATTTATCCCAAGATAACTTGTGAGTTATATTCCTAATCTTAACTCCAAGGTTTGCCATGAATTAACTCGCTTTTATTTTCCCATTATTCTAGTATATTGCTACTTTTTAGAAACAAAAGATCATTCTATTTATAGTATTCTGTTATGATGGTATTTACATTCACAAAATAGAGTAATTTTCAATCACTGAAAATGTCAAATCCTAGAAAACTTTGGATTCATCAAAGAGCAGATTTATGTAAAGTTAAATGAACACTGGCAATGAGCTGCACTTTTTTTTTTGGTACCGGGGATCAAACTCAGGACCTTGCGCTTGTGAGGCCAACGGCGGAACCACTGAGCTAAATCCCCAGCCCTGAGCTGCACTTTTTGGGAAATGGGTTAAACAACCAGTCAAAATCTTAAGTATTTAACCTTGGCCCAAGCACCTGTTGGTGAGAGGTGGTACCTCCTTACATTAAATTTTATCCATTCAGATCTTACTGAGTCCCTACTGTCTGCCAGGCACAGTTCCGGGAACTGAGGAGAGTGCAATGAATAAAGGCACAGGATCTCCCACATAATGCTTACAGTCTACTGAGGACACAAACACAACTAGAAACCTTGTCTGCACAAGTGATGGTAATACTGACTTGGGAAGAATAAAGAAATTGAACAAGTATTTCAGGCAAAAGCAGCATTTTCAAAGGCTTGAGGGAGGGTGGAGCTTTCTAGAACACTGAAAAATGAAGCAGAAATGCTAAGCATCAGTGAAGAGTGGTTTGAGACAAGGAAACAAAGTAATTAGAAGGTTTAAGAGAGCAAGCCAGGCATGGTGGTACATGCCTGTAATCCTAGTACATGGGAGGCTGAGTCAGGAGGATTATTGAGTTAAGAGGCCAGCCTGGGCTACAAAGACCTTGTCTCAAAAAAAAAAAAAAAAGGATCAGCTTTGCACTATCAGATCTGGCCAAGTCTTGTTTTTGTTGAGGTTCAATGAACCTGATCTGAAATCAACTGAAGGGGTCAAGCAAGGCAACACTGCACAGCAGGAACAGAAATCTCCCCAGGTCAGCTCAAGTCAAAATGGGAGTCTGTGGTCTTCAGATCAATATCACACTAAAATTCTTTAAGGAACAAACTCAAGATACCTCATTCATAGATGGGAAATAACAAGACAATTTCCTGGGCTTCAAGCCTGAACCTGATGGCATCAGATGAAAGAATACTATTTTAAGAATTTGCATTTTCCATGAAGGAGGAATATAAAGAATTTGTGGTTAGCTACAGACTATGGCACATTTAAAATATGACCTCTAAATTCTCTGACATTCATACTTTTAAAAAGTACAGTCTCTCTTTCCACTTAGGGTTGGCTCTGTAACTGCTTGATACATAGAAAATTGCAGAAGTGGCCCTGTGCAGGTTTCCAGGCAGCATCTACATCTTTCTTGGCATGCATGCTTTTTTGGGCCAGCTTTTAATGTTTTTATTGGTGCCTGTTTGTGATACATAATGAATACATTTTTGGTGGAGAGTTAGTTCATATACATAGCACATGTTAGTCCTTTTTTATTTCCTCTTACTCATACCTCCCCTCTCCCTCCACCACTTGATTCCCTTCCCATCTGCAAAAGGTCTACCTACTATCCTATTGTCTTTTATTTTGCTGTTTAAATTATGCTTTGTTGCTTGGTTTCTGGTTGATAGCCATTCTTTCTGCAGTGGGATGGAATCTCAATGTTTTGGTTTGCATTTCTCTAATGGCCGAGGATGCTAGAGACTTTTTTCCTGTACTTGTGATTTGAACTCCTTCAAAGAAGTGTCTTGTTCATTTCAATTGCCCATTTTTTAATATGATCTTTTATTTTGGAGAGTCTGATTATTGAGTTCAATTCTAGATATTGTTCTCTGTCTAAGGAATAGCTGGCAAAATTTTTATCCCATTTTGTGGGTTGTCTCTTCCCTCTGTTGGTTATTTCTTTTGCTGTGCAGAGGCTCTTTTAATGTGATATAATCCATTTGTCAATTCCTGGTGTTATATCTTGGGCAAGTGAGGTTCTGTTCATAAAGTCCTTGGCTAATAAATGTATGAGAGAATGTTCAGTGTCACTGGTCAATTGAGAGAAGCGGACTGGAGTAGTGCTGGGGTTCCCTCTCGGTCCAGAGGGAGTAGCTGTTATCAGGAGGTCAACTGGTAATGGATGCTGATGGGGCTGTGGGGAAGGGGGAGCCCTTCTGCACTATTGGTGGGGGTGTTGGACTGGTGTGGCCACCGTGGGGGTCAATGTGCAGATTCCTCACAGGACTGGGGCTGGAGGTTTCGTTTGTCCCACCTGTTTTCCTTCTTGGTATATTCCAAGGGGAGTTGGGAGCTTCATGCCATAGTGATATATGCATGCCTGTGTTTGTGGTGGCTGGGTCTTGGGAGTGGCCCAGGTGCCTGTCGGTTGATGAATGGATGGAGAGGATGTGGGGTTGTTGTTGTTTTTTATATGCTAGAGTACTACTCTGCCATAAAGAAGGATGGGCTCGAGACATTTCTGGCCAGATGGATGCACCTTGGGACCATACTCTTAGGTGAGATAAATCAGACATACATGTTTCACTAGCACATTGATTCTCTGGTATGAGAAACTGAAAATGCAAATAAGGACCAAAATGTGTAATAGATACTGGGAAATGGGAAGAAAATGTTCAAATGAGAAGAGGAGGTTGGGGATTTAGCTCAGTGGTGCTGTACCTGCCTCAAAAGCGCAAGATCCAGAGTTCGATCCCTGGTACCAAAAAAAAATGAGAACAGGAACAAAGGAGGGGGAGGGAGAAAGGAAAGAAAGGACAAGAAAAAAAGGATGGAAGGAAAAAATGGAAAGAAAGCTTTTGTAGATAAGGGAGGAGGGGTCAAAGGGAGGCGAGAGGAATGGGAAAAAAGCAAGATATATCATGTACAGATACAAATTCCCTATGATGAATGTTATCATTATGTATATCTAAAATGTACCAATAAATGTTTTGCTTCAGTAAGAAAAAGATCAGAACTTTACTATTTTTTTGTGGTGCTGTGGACTAAATTCTGAGCCTTGCACACATTAGGCAAGCTGAATGTTCTATCACTGAGCTATAAGCCCACCCACAGGACTATTGAAAAAGTCACTGTAGTTGCTGTGTGGATAATAGAAGCAAGCAAGGTGTAACTTAGGCTACTGCAGTAGTAGAGGTGAGACTACTAGGTGCTAACAGTTGACAGTGTGTGAGGGGTGCAACTACCTGTGTTGCTCATGGAGTCTGGAACATAGGTATGTGACCTGTGTGTTAAAAATCCAACTTAAGGCCAGGATTTAGCTCAGTGGTGCCGATGCTTGCCTTGCAAGCCCAAGGTCTTGGGTTTGATCCCTGGTACCAAAAACAAAAAACAAAACCAACTTTCCTACTTCCTAATTGTGACTGAGAAAGTTATTTAACCTTTTTATCTATAAAGTTGAAAGGTGATAAAATCTATATTACAGAGATACTATAAGGATTTGATTAAACAGTACAAGTTTAGAACAGTGGTACTAATTTGCTGCTGAGGATAAAAGTTTAAACAGTTAATGAGATGAGGAAGCTAGTAGTTCAATTTGGGACACCAAATGGAGAACTCACCTAGACTGTCTGATACAGGAGTGGTGAAGTGGGTGAAAAATTTAAACTAAAGATAAAATTTGTTATGTCTAACAGTTCTTTTAAATTAATTTCATTGGTACATTTTAGGTGTACAATATGATAACATTCATCATTGGGAATTTGTACCTTTACATGATATATCTTGGTTCTTATTTTTTCCCCATTCCCTTGTCCTCTCTTCAACCCCTCCACCCCTCCCTATTTACAAAGACTTTGTTTTCATCTTTTCCTTTTCTCATATTAATTCCATTCCCTTCTTTCCTTTCCCCAACTCCTCCCACTTCCCGTTCCCCTTTGGACCTTTTCTTCCTATTTCACATCTATTATGCCTTTTGATCCTTGTTTACACTTTCAGTTTTTCACACCACAGAAACTATTTGGTAAAATGTGGGGTTTTTAAAAAATAAAATGGAGTACTACTCAGCCATAAAGAATGAAAAATTAGAGACATTTATGGCTAAATGGATGCACATTGAGGCGATACTCTTAAGTAAAATAAATAGTACAGATGTATGTTACATCTAACTATTGACAACTAGAATGGATGATACTGTCCAAGTAGAACAAGAATGGAAACTTCACTATTAAGAAAAGCCAACATTTAGGGGCCAGGGATATAGCTCAGTGGCAGAGTGCTTACTTAGCATGTGTGAGCCCTATCCTATGATGCCCAAGGTGGCAAAAAAAAAATTAAAACCTAACATTTAAGAACCAGATGAAGCTCGGAGTGGTGGTACATGGCATATGATCCCAGCACTTGGGAGGTTGTTATGGTTTATATCTAGATGTTGCCCTAAAGTCTCATGTATTCATAATCAGGGCTTTTGGGAGGTGACTGGATCATGGGTGTATAATACTGGATTAGTTCACTAATGGGTTTATGGCTGGGTGTGATATTAGGAGCTGAAGAGGTGAGTCACTATGGTTGTGACCTGGCATGGTATCCTTCCTCCCTTGATGGCTGCTGCTACCTTTCTGCCATCCCCTGAGCTCTTTCTCCCCTGCCATGTCCCTCTGCTGCCTTGCTTTGGAGCCAGTGGAGACTACTGACTAAAATCTCTACAAACTGAGCCAAAATAAACTTCCTCCTTTAAGTTGTGGGTTTTGGGTATTTTGTCTCAGCAATGAGAAAGTAAGAGGCGGAGGCAGGAAGATCTTGAGTACAAGGCCAGCCTGGGCTATATAACAAGCCCTGTTTTAAAATATATATAAAGAATTAAAAGAATGGTGTTAATTCCCTATTGTTTGTTTCATTCATTCATTCATTCATTTATTGGGTATGGGGGGGATCGCACTCGGGACCTTGTGCTTGCCAGGCAGGTGCAGAACCACTGAGCTACATCTCCGGTCCTACTGTTTCAGAAGAATAGTATGATAAGTGCCGGGGATTTATCTCAGTGGTTTTGCCGCCTGCTGCTCAAGCGCAAGGACCTGAGTTCGATCCCCAGTACCCAAAAAAACAAGTATGATGGAAAATTTGGAGTGGATCTGCATCTCATCCTCAATTTTCTCATCATAAAATCATAAGGATCCATCACCTCTCTTCAAAAGTTATAACTTCACCCAATTATTACATTGTATTGCACTTTTTGTTTATGAGTATTGAAACTTAAGGATGGGAAGTATGTTTGGTGTCTTCAGCTGAACAGGATAGAACATAAAGTAATATTTATTGAGCTGTAAATATTGTTAGAGCCTTATCAGAATTTTGAGATAGCCAGTGGTAGTGGCACACACCTGTAATCCCACCATTTGGGAGGCTGAGGCAGGAGAATTGCCATGAGTTCGAGGCCAGTCTGGGCTACATAGCTAAAGGCCAGTCTCAGTCTATGGCCTACCACCTTGAACATGCCCAACTTCCAACTATATGTCTCCAAGAAATAAAAAAAAACTTTATGAGATAGTTTCTATTTTGTCAGTATAGATGAGCAATTCAGGCACAAGGAGGCTTAATCATTTAACGAATATTTCATAGATAATAGAGGGTAAGCTAGAACATTCAGTAAATGTTAAAATAAATATAAATCATAATACAAGGCTGTGCTCACTATTAGTTTTTTATCTACTCAGATTTGGCTCGGGAATTGTGCCCGAATAACAACAAATTATTGCTGCCTTTGGAGATGTTTGTTTGGATTTATTTGCTCCATTTGACCTAATTTAGTTGAGAATAACCTTTAGCCAGTGATTAAAGAGACAATATTAAAGAGACAATAGATTAATAAGCTCTTCCGGGGAAGAGATTACGTCCTGCATATTTTGGAGTTGAACTGTTGGGTTATTAAGCTTACTGTGTGCAATGATAAGCGAAGAGATCCACTTATGTTGCACTCACAAAAGCAAATACTGTCGCTGGTAGTTACCGAGCCATGGGAGATGGAGGTGATACAGTATAAAGGACTAGGAGTGAGGATCGTTTAGACCAGCCTCCGCATCAAACCGAGATTCGGTCTCAAAAGAAAAAAAAAAAAGACTAGGAATTAGGAACCGAGTCTTGAATTCTAGTTCTGAAATTACTGTGCTCATCAACATTTTACTAAGCCTCTTCGTGCCAAGAACTGCTAGGTGCCATCTGACCTTGCGTAAGGCTTCAGATGTTCACTGGATGCTTGATACTGCAACGGAGTTTCTTCGGGGATTCCTAATAAGTGACTCAAGGAGAAGGGAGGAGGCTGTGCGGACGCCGCACTCAACGCCCCTCCCTCCTGGCAGCCCTGAATCTGAGCTCCGAGGACTCGCTGCAGCAAGGAAAACTACACCTAACTAACATGGCGCTGCTGGCCCCGCCCGCTCTGCCGCCATTTTAGTAGTTCCCGAGGCGGGCGGGCTCAGCGCGCCCGCGCGGCCCCTTGTGTCCTCAGCGCGCCTGCTCGGCCGCAGAGCTTCCGCTGGTCCTTTCGCGGCTGCTGCTCCTGCACTGACGGCTGGCGCCCGCGCTTCAGGTGAGTGAGCGCTTCAGCTCCCGAGCGCTTGGCGTCGCATGCGGGGGCGTCGCTCCTCCCTGCCCTGCCTCTTGTTCTTCTGCGCTCTGCGGGCCCCGGGGTTCACTCTGCCAGCCTTCTCTGGGTCCGCGGCGCCCTCCGCCCCGCTCGGCCGTCTCGGGTCCTTTCGGCTCCAGCCGGCTGGCCACAGCGCGCGGGAGGCAGGGGTCAAGCCTCCTTTCTCCCCACTCGCTCTGTTGTAGGGACCCCCAGCACGCATCACGCCTTTTCCTACTCCAGCTCTGCAGGCAGCAGAGCTGCCGGGTCCTCGGGCTGCGCATGCATCTATACCCGCGGCCCCAGAGCCCAGGGGCTTGGAAGAGGGGCCTGCGCTCGGTTTGCGCGCGTTCGGCCCTGAAGCAGCAGAGCGCACTGTCTTGGGGCCCCACGACCACCCTGCGGGGAGAGCCACGTTTTATAGCTGAGGAAGCTGAGACATGGAGAGGTGAAGTGCCTCTTCCAAGGTCACGGGGCTGATAAGTGGCACGGCGGTCTGTGGAATCGGACCAGTGCAGTTGGAATTTGATTTTGTTCCGTTACAAATTTTTGGAAATTCACTTACCATCTCTGGCTTTGCTCGTAAACGTCATAAAAGTGGACTGCAAGAAGAATAGCTTTTTATCGGAGTGCAATTGAGATGTTAACCATAATAATAGTAGTGATTTTAATAAAAGCTGACGTTCCTCCAGCGTTCGCTTGCTGTGTGTCAGCAATCTTTGCTAAGCATTTTATTAAGATCATCTCACTTGCTACTTGAATGATTATCAATTCATTCCCTTCCCTTTCCTTTGCACAAAGCCTTTTCCTGTACAGTTGCCCCCCGCTTCCCGGGTAGACTAAGAGCCTCATGGTTTAGGAGGCAGGGAAGCTCTCTGCATGGTGGGTTATTGACAGAATAGGGTAAGCCTTGCCTGTTTTAATCCAGATTTCCCTCCAATCCTGACCTCTCAGCATATAATTAGACTTCCTTTCCTAGCTGTCAGGAGAGCAGGACCAGAGTAGCAGGGCTGGCTGGACTTGAAGGTGACAGAGCAGATTTGGCGAGGACTTACCTCATTTTGGGACATTCTGGCTCTTCTCCAACGCTAGACTTGAACATTTTAGTAATTAAGATAAAATAAAAAGAAGGCATTGACACAGTGCTGCTGGATCTTCAGTCTCCTTTGATTTGAAGTCCCAAATGAACAGCTATAAAAATATGTAAATGTTTCTCACCCAGTATAACTAGTTCAAACTGCCTTTTTCTCCCTTGGCAAATCCTCCTCCACACTTCAGAAGCTCTCCTTCTTTGTGACACTTTCCCTGCTGGATTTTCCCAGTTACAATTTAACACATAACAGAACAGGTTAGAGGTCTCCATCCTACCCGCTACGGCTACTAGCCCCTGGAGGTCAGGGACTGTCTTGCAGCCCCAAATTCTTGGCTCGCAGCGGACCCTTGCTCAGTGAATTTCCACTCCTCCTTTTCATTACTGAAATGGCAGTGTTCTCTTGCTGCCCTTCTGTTCTTCCTCTTGCCCTTTAGTTTCTCTTTAGTATCCCTTTGTTGTATAACTTTTGATCATCACCTACCACACAAATGGTTCGGTCCACCCTGCTGTTCCTGAAAATTTGTAGAGAAGGATCTTACATCAAGGAGCCTGTCTATCCACAGCAGTGGAGTTGGTCTATGTTGCTTAACTCTACAGGGTAGTGGTTTTTTTGTTTGTTTGTTTGTTTGTTTTGTTGTTGTTGTTGTTTTGTATGTTCCTACAGAGTAGCCTGAGGTTTATGGCCTTTTAGTCTATCCCTCAGTGCACATGAGATTGAATTCTACATTCTTTTGCCTTATGTGGCTGACTGTCCATGATGAAGACTGGGAGTAAATCTGGATGCAGCTAGGCAAGGCTTGCCTTGTTCTGCCCCAGTGATAAAAGAGTAGTGACAATGTTTATGGTCTATCAATACATGGTATTTAAATTTTTTTTAGTTTATTAGTGCATGTGTGTAGTACATAATGTTTCCATTCCTTATGAGAAGTTGGTACATGTACATAACACATCTTAATTCCTTTTGTCATCACCTTTCCCTTCCCTCCCTCTACCCATCTCTTGATCTTGATCACCTTCCCTTTATTTTCTTTTTTTTTTGGTATGTGTTTGCAGTACAGAATGTTCACATTACTTGTGTGGAGTTAGTACCTGTACATAACACATTTCACTTCCTTTTTTTAAACCTCTATTCTTTCCCTCCCTCCCCCTTTCTTCATCTCTTGATCCCTTTCCTCTTTGAGAAGGATCTGTCTCCCTGCTTCCTATTATCTTTTACTTTGCTCTTTATTTCTACTCTAGGTTTTTCATTTAACAGAAAGGATGTGATATTTAAGCTTGTGTCTGATTTATTTCACTTACTATTATGGTCTTAAGGTGCATCCATTTTCCTACAGATGACTCAATCTTTCTTTATGACAGAGTAGTACTCTGTGGTATGTAAATACCACATTTTCTTACTACTTGGTATTTATAATAAATATTCAGAAAGGCCCTTTGGGAGGCAGCAGACAAATGCATAGGTTCTCTATATAAATGAAACTTTGTAAAGAATTTTTCCAAATAATTTTCTGTAAATATATTGCACTGTTATATGTAAGGCATGGTGCAGGGTATGTTGAAATAAAATGTGGTTCCTGTTGAGTTTACTAGCTAATTGGGAAACACTGTATGTAACTAACTCAAGACTAAAAATTGTCATATTGGTATTATAAGCAAGGTAATATAAGTATAATGGATTAAGATATTCCAACACGGGACATTCACAGAAATCATATAATTCAAGTTGAAAATAAGGACTGAGACATTGAGTCTAACCTTCTCTTTTGTAGACATCATCTTGGAAAGTGAACTTTGTCCAAGGTCATAGAACTGGGGCTATACTCTGGGAGGATGAGGCAGGAGAATCACATGTTCAAGCCCAGTCTGGGCAACTTAAAGCCTGTCTCAAAATTTAAAAAATGAAGAAGAGCTGGGGATGTAGCTCACTGTGAAGGCCCTGGCTTCAATCTCCAGTACCACAAAACAAAGCCTTGGGCTACAGCTTGAAATACCAGATTTTCTATCCATTGAAAATTAACCAGGGCTGGGGAGTGTAGAATACCAGCCTAGCACATACCAGGTCCTGAGTTTGATCCCCAGCACTACAGGGAGGAAAAAAAAAAAAAAAGATTTACCAGTAGTTCTTCTCAGTGAATTTATTTTTGACATCATTAATCAGCAACTCCATCAAAATTTTATTTATGTCCTTAGATCGTGGGTGGGAAAAGAGATAAAAATGTATGATTCACATCTTCAGGCAATTTAAGGTTTTCTGAAGAAGAATAAAGAATTGTTCTGTAACATTGAAGATGGTAAATAACTTTGTTAAATTGTCTGGTAGAGGAAGTAGGTATGTCGTGAGAGAGAAAGGTCTAGCAGGGATCAGTTTGAAATGTGAGAGACCACTTTGGGGAAGAATTAGGACTTTGTAAAGGGTTTGACAGATTAAGTCAGAATTAATCAAAAGGATGAGGGAAACATTTTGAAGTAGGATTGATAAAAATGAGACAGGAAAACAAAGCCTTCCATGTTTAGGAACAGTTTAAAAATGGCTTGGCTATGTTAGAGCTGTGGTTCTCAACCTTGAGAATACATCATTTCCTTGGACAGCTTGTTAGCCCCTACATTGCTGTTTCCCATCTTCAGGGTTTCTGATTCAGGAGGCCTGGAGTGGGCCCTGAGGATTTCCAGTTCTCACAAGTTACCAGATGATGCTGATGCTACTAGTCCAAGGACTACCCTTTGAAATTCATTGGATTAGAAGTTGAAAAGCTAGAGAGAAACTGTCAAACTATTTGCAAAATGTATGCATGTATGTTATAAATAACATGAAAGAGTTTTGGGAAATACACACCAAACAATTGTAGTCACTTCTGAAAATGGGACTTAGTTGTGTTGGGGACTTCACTTTTTGTTGTTGTTGTTGTTTTTTTTGGTACTAGGGATCGAACTTGGGTCCTTGCGCTTGCGCAGCAGGCGGCGAAACCACTGAGCTAAATCCTCGGCCCTTGTTGTTTTTGAGACAAGTTCTTGCTCTGTAATATAGGCTGTCCTTGTTGAACTCACTGTATAGCCCAGGCTGGCCTTAGACTCAAAGATCCTTCTGCCCCAGTCTCAAGTGTTGGGTTTACATGTTTGCACCACCACACCTGGCATGGGGAATTCACTTTTTACTTTATACATTTCTGTATTATTTTTGCATTGTATACATATTGCTTTTGTATTTTACAAAAGAAAAGATACATACTAAAAAAATATTTTTGAAGATACATACTAAAATATTTGTAGATTTAAAATAATGTGTTAATCTAGTCATACAACAAACTTTCTGTCTGCTACATGCCACATGCTGCTAGCTTCTGGAAATACAAAGCCTTTGCTAAAGCTTGCAGTCTGGTAATGAAGATTGGTATAATAAATAACAGCTCTAGTTAGTGTCCTGTGAGCTTCCTAAGAGCAGGACCAAGTCTAGCTCTCTGCTTGCCTGGTAATAGGCACTTGGTAAATGATGAGTGAATGAGCAATTCAGACAAGAAGTTAGGATGGTGGGAAGAAAAAGGCCACATGGGAGATTGTGGTGGCAGAGGGAGTGGGTTGACAAGCTTGGATAGGCATGATGAAAGAAAAGTGTGCAGCAGGAAAGCCTCTGAAGTCTAAAGATTGATAATATTTTGGGTTTAATGCAGAATAGGATGTCAAGTCATCTGTTCCTTTTTTGGGGGGGCACTATCAGTGATTGAACTCAGGTCCTTGCACTTGCGAGGCAGGCAGTGGAACCACTGAGCTAAATCCCTGGCCTTATCTGTTCCCTTTTTAAGAGACTCCCCAAGACCAGGGATTTAGCTCAGTGGCATCGTGCCTGCCTCGAAAGCACAAGGTCCTGAGTTCGATC